GGTAGGCCTTTTTAAATAATAATTCTGCTTCGGATGCAGTTTCAGGTGAATTTGCATCTGTTTGTGTATACATGATAAGTTTATTCAATCAGCAGAAAAGAACCGTAAAGAAATACAGGAATACAAACTGAAAATAAAAAGACTACATTGGCTAAAATGCACAATGTTAGTCCCCTATTCGGTTTTTCATGCATATTTGTACACATTTGGGAAATGGTTATATTGTTTGCAAATGTTATGCAAATACGCGTTCCAGGACCCGGCAAAAAATTCTATCAGTTGTGAAAGATTACCACTAGTCATTAAAAATTCCTTCACCTCATAATAAGGTAAGGGAGCCAGGTGTCAACAGTAAATTCAAACCTTCAAATGAGGTGATTTGATTGCTACACTTAATCATACACTTGACTTAATCGGGGCATAGGCGGAAAGTCGACTATGGCACCACAATACGCTGTGCAGAGTTGCGTCCATTGGGCAGAACCAGGAACCTATGATTGTGGGTTTGAATCCTGGCTCGTCCCGACTATGTTTCTAGGTTTGTCCCAAGGTATTAATGTCTAAAACCTGCATCACTTCAGGCTTTAGTCCCACATTAAGCTGACACGCAGTGATGCAACTGGAATACTGTTAAAAGCAGTGATTAACCCAGCTCACTCAATCACTTGACTTAATTATTCGCTCAGCCTACTCAATCATTCACTCAGCTTATTCAATCATTCACCAAATCTACTCAATTATTCACTCAACCTACTCAATCATACACTTAACTTACTCAATCATTCACCAAATCTATTCAATTATTTGCTCAATCTACTCAATGTTTTAATCACCTCAATCCATCACTCAATACTCATTCACTCTGCTTACTCAATCATTGATCCAATCTCCACAACCATTCACTCAGCTTACTCAATCATTCACCAAATCTATTCAATTATTTGCTCAACCTACTCAATCATTCACTTAACTTACTCAATCATTAACACAACCATTCACTCAGCTTACTCAATCATTCACCAAATCTATTCAATTATTTGCTCAATCTACTCAATGTTTTAATCACCTCAATCCATCACTCAATACTCATTCACTCAGCTTACTCAATCATTCACCCAACCTCCACAACCATTTGCTCAGCTGACTCAATTGTTCACACAACTCAATAAATCATTTACTCAATTCATGCACCCCGACTAAGTAGTTTGCTATATTTCAGTATGTGATGGTGAGGATTCATCCAGATCAGATGATGAGCCACGGGGGTACGACTGATGCATGTGCCAACTCCGAGCTGCAGAGTATCGGACACATGGGGAAAGAGGAAAACATTCAGATGTCCAAAGAAATTTCAGAATTCCTGCAACAAAAGCTTGGCATTGACCCTAAAAGGTTAGAAATAGCATTGAATTGCTGAAGTATTGGTCATGTTGGTGGAGTTCTGGGGGAGAATAGATTGCGTACTTTATGCTTGTGGTAAATCAAGACAACACATGGCCACTGCTTAAGGCTTGAGTATGTAACGATACACTTATTGGCTAAATAATAGACATCTTGATAGTCTTGTAAGGTTGCAATACGATACCTTGCAATACTTGACATGCTGAAAAATTTATCATGATTTATTGTGACAGGATATAAATATGAAACCTTGTTGACAAATGAGTACAGGGTGTTTATCCTAATAGAAAGAGGATAAAGTACCCTGTATAATCGAAGATGTTTGATCTGTTATCCTGTTGGTGATTTTATAGGTTTGTACTGGTTGTAGGTAAGGTTTATATCTATAAAAAGGCCATCTTCCCGAGGCAAGGAAGTTAACTGACTTTAAAAGTCCAGTTTCCACCATTGCCAAACTAGGGTGGAATTACTGCGCTAGATCAAAGTGCCACCAGTGGATATTACGAGTTATGTCCCTTCTAAGCCTCTTCTTTGAGCCAATCAGATTTCACCTCTCGTATCACTTGCATTTGCTACAAAGCAAATTGCGGCGCCTAGTCAAGACGATCTGATCGATAATCAAGATCTGTATTGTGATAAAACGGATCTTACATCGCGAAATGCATGAAATCACGTGAGCACCTTGATTAAAAACATAATTTCTTTTTGCAAATATCTGCTAACAACGAGTTGGCGGTGCACACGCTTTGCAAATCCTGCAATTGACCGACGACAGTTTACGAACCGGATTTCAATTTCGGTGCGCGATTTTGATTGGACTATGCATAGACTCGTTAGTCCAGCCAAAACGTAACTCCATAATACTAGCCTAGTTTGGCAAGGGTGGAAACTGGACTTTTATAGTCAGTTAACTCTCTTGCCCCGGGAAGATGTAAAAAGCGTGTCCAGGCTGAAAAAAATTTGTTATGTAAAACACTTACCACCCAAAGGGTCAATAGTAAGTTGGTCAAAGGTCACATAAGAATGGATTTGGTACTGGTTTCCTGGTCATCTTCACAAGTGACCAAGGTCAGTATTAGGGTGGTCAGTTGCCACACAGATCCACAGATGAGTAGAATTCTGATTTCTGGTTTTGGTTATTTACAGAAACTACATCAAATTTACCAAAATGGAACGACTTGAGGTCGGGTATGGCGGGACCACATTTGCAGCCTTGTAGGGATCACGCACTAGTGGAAATAAACAGCTGGATTGGGCAAAATATTGACTGCAAAATCTTCATTTTAATCAACTTACGATGAACCATAGTATCAGTGGTGAAGGCTTGTCACTTTCATACTCATGTTAAATTTGTTTGTCACATCAGCAGCATCTATGTCTATGGCAGCTCTGTAAGAGTACAATACATGCCAGTGAAAAGCTATAAAATCGCATCACTTCAGTTAGGGAAATCAAAGTAATATAACATCTGTCGTTGAGATGTACCAGGTCGAACAATGTGGTATTTCTCTTGAACATATTAACTCTTAGTCTGCTGAAATAATTTGAAGAGTGTCATTTAGTGATGTAGAACAGTTCATTAAGTAAGATTTATATTTGTGTTATCTTTTGTATGACCAGTCTTATGGTTTTTAACATGACCTGTGCATGTTGCACTAATGCCGCCATACTTAATATGCCATACTTTCCTAATTAACGTGAATTTTCAATCTATATCTCGGTGAAAAATCCCTCAAATTATTATTAGTTAATATTATTGTAAATATAAATGATCAGTCCAAGAGAATACCCAGTCTAGATTATCCACTGAAACTGATAAAAATGTCCAGCTTCCAGTACGACCATTGTCACACAGTCCAAGGGTTAAGAGATATCAAGCTGTCTCATACTTCTCCATGCATGATGCAGTACTGTATGTAAGTTGATGCACAGATGAAGTCTGATATTTGTATTAAATGTGTAAAACTGGAATCATGGGTTCAATTATATATGTGAGTGAATGTTGTTTTACGCAGCAGTCCGTATTATACCAGCAGCTGTAAATATGATCATCTTATTTGTCAAGCTATGATTGACCCCCATGGGGATTTAAGTTAGAACTGGTCCCTAGCAGCCTTTGTTGGTCATCAGAGGCGACACACCCCTTGAAAATGCTTGGTAAAATAGATCTTCAGCAACCCATGCTGGCCGTAAAGAGGCGACTAACGGGATTGGGTGGTCAGACTCGCTGACTTGGTTGATGCATGTCATCGTATCCCAAATGAGTGGATCGATGCTCATGATGTCAATCACTGGATTGTCTGGTCCAGATTATTTACAGACCGCCATCATATAGCTGGAATATTGCTGAGTGTGGCGTTAAACAACAAACAAACATACAAAAACAATAGGCGACTTAATTGATCGGGTGGTCAGGTTCTGTGACTTGGTTTGACGGTGTGTCAACATACCCCAACGGCTAGATCGTTGTTCACAGTATCCATCACTGGATTGCCTGGTCCATATTTGATTCGCCTTCAAATAGCTGGAATATTGCTTTGTGCAGGGTTAGACAACAAACACACACATCAGTGATTGACAATACAAGCACCGGTACACATTGTTGGGACTCACTGGCGCACAAGCCTTGATACACTAGCTGTTAGTCCTGCACCATGACCGTGGAATATATTTATTTTATTGAAAAAAAATAAATCTAGACTCACAAACAAAAGCAAGTCTAGCCAGCCCTTGCTAGCTCTATTCTGCACCATGACCGTGGAATATATCTATTTTATTGAAAAAAATCAATCTAGAAATGCATACAAAAGCAAGTCTAGCCAGCCCTTGCTAGCTCTATTCCAATCAGCATAGGGAATTTTTTATTTATCTTAGAGTCAAGAAGAATATTAAGTAATATAAGATTTCAGAGACTAAATGTTCGTCTAACTATCTGGTTATAAAAAGTGTTTTTTTGTAGGTGAGTGAGTGAGTATGGTTTTACGCCTTTTTTGGCAATATTCAAGCAAAATCATGCAGGGGGACACCAGAAATTGGCTTCACACATTGTACCCATGTGGAGAATCGAACCTGGGTGTTCTGTGTGATGACTGAACGCTTTAACCACCAGGCTACCCCACTGCCCCTTGTATAGCTGGATGTATGTAATCTTTTTATCGTGTGTGAACTGAACGGCAGATCACGTTACTCACAGTTAATTACAACAACGACCGGATTACCGTTATTGACGACTTGAAATGAACCGTTGTTGACAGAGAATGGATACATATATTTTCATTCTATTCAGTTTAATATTTACCCTTGTCTTGATTTGAAGTGAGGTGGGGTGAGGTGAGGTGAGGTGAGGTGAAATGGGGTTGAACGTCGCATTCAAGATTATTGCACTTATTTAGCGACATCCATGTATGTGTGTCTGTGTGTGGCTGCTTGTACTAGTCCCGGCTAATTTTATGGTGCTAGCCCACGGAGATAGCCCACGGAGATAGCATGCCCGAGTGAATACCCCACTAACACAGTATACTGACTCCGAGCCGACCAGTCCTTATTAGTCCCTTAATACCGAGCACCAGGCAGAGTAATTTTTAGCGTCTTTTGGAATGACAAGGACGGGATCGAACCCCTAACCTTCAGCTCTTCGGGCAGATGCACGGAGGCGGTCAGTCCTCAAAAGGCACAGATCTTAGACATTGACCACTTTGGTGAAGCCAGTGAACACAGACCGGATATTGCCAAGGCTTATAATGCAGAGAAATCTGGGGTCACACAAGCCACAGTGAATGTAGGCGGGGCCACCCATGTCCCAATGATTATCACAACACTAAACAGATAATATTTTATTATTTTATTTTCATTCATTCTTTTTTAGGTTTTCTTCTTTTTCACACAAAATAAAACATAGTTTTGTGTGAGATCAATAAATAAAAACAAAAAAAAACCTTTCAATATATAAAAAAAATCCCACACGGTGTACTTCATGACAAATGTACTTAAATGTTTGGCACAATGTGAGTTCTTATAATTCTGAATTAAAGGAATTGACCATTTAATGTAAGTACAGTTCATTATCACAATACCAACTGAAATCATCTGAAGACAGTAAATACTGATTTGATGGGTGGAAAAAACTCTCCAAACCATACCCAATAATACAAACGCTTTTAGAACTTTCATAGAATAGTGTTTACCATTAATCTTGGTACCATATTTGGACGGAATGTTTCAACATATTGCATGGCAAGTTCAGGATAAACATGATAAATGAATGCTTTGATAGAAATACTTTCAATGGATATAAATAAATATATCATATCACAGCTAAAGCTCTACACACAAAAGTACACAAATAAATATGCACACTTTGTAGATACTGGATGAAATATTTGATTTTTGTGAATTACTGTTATGATTTAATCGGAATGGAGTTTCATGCATATATCTCCGTCGTGACATCAATAAATGACATTGTTAGAACTTACATTATCAATACAAATATCACAACAGTTCACTAACAAGAAATATACAATACTGCTTCACTGTTGAAGCTATGTACAAAATTGAACACAACAACAGGTCAAATGAAATTGACATTTAAGAGCACTATGACACCAATTAGCATCATAAACAACAGTCACTGAATACTTATATCATTATTTATAGACAATGTAACATTTAATACTGATGACTTCAGTGAAAATAATCTCCTGTCAGGCTTTGGACATTTTATGTGCATAAACTTTTTAAATGACCCTGTAGACAACTTCTAATTGAATAAGTTCTCCATTTTGGACAATGATCGACCATGAATCATTTCAAAATAAGAAATTGATTAAACATTCTGTTTGAATGAAAAAACATACTTCTATACAATCACCTGAACTGACAGTTATTTGGTTCTAATGATTGGGATTTAGGTTCTATGGAAAGCTTAAAGCGGTGGAGTCTTATAAGACGAACATGTTGTGATCTAATCTGTGTTGAGAATGAGACAAGCTCCTTGCAGCACCCAGTGGCTGGTGTGTTCAGATGTGGCGAGGTAGGCCTCGAAGACCAGCTCGACACCCATGGCGTTCCTCCTCTGTGAGGTCACATACACAGGCGTACGGAATGTGTTCTGCAAAACAAAACAGGTTTATCTCAATGTTACATGGCAACACAGCATTGCATTTTTATTTTATTTTATTTTTAAAGACTACCAGGTATTTATTTATATCTGAATCAATAATTGAAACTTCTTTTCGATGTTTTAAATGTAATATTACATGTAAGACAATTGTGAAGAAAACCAAGCGAAACTACACGATCACCCTTTTCCAAACAGCTTGCTCACTTTAATTAGGAGAAACTGTTTTCAGTTTTTGTTAGTGTTATTATGGCTTTGAAATCCTTTTAAAAAATACCTTGCCAACACTTTCCAAACCAGGAACTCATAGACTTATAGAAATTACTACAAGAGTGTCTGTCGGATGTCATTTATCTTAGTTGATTCAAACTGTATTTAACAAGCTCCTGAAAATCACACCATTTCAGCATCAAATCGATGCATATTTTGTCCATTCTCATGATTTCATTGGTGCATTAATACATTACACCATCTTTCTCTTACTACTGATACCTAGTGAGCACCTTTACAAAATGTTTCCACGATATGTGGATTATCAAGACAATGATGATAATGCAAACTAGATAAGATGATAGAACATCTATGAACACTCTAAAAGCATAAACTGCTCAGAGACATAGGTGACTGACTAAAGCATGAGAAACATCGGGGCCACAGGTGGCCCAGTCGTCTGAGGCGCCGTGATTTGCTGTGCAGAGTTGCGTCCCTTGGGCATGCCAGAAACCTATGATTGTGGGTTCGAATCCCGGTTCGCCCCGATTATGTTTCTAGGTTTGTCGGCACCATACCCGTGCTCGTGGGTTTCACTGGAGTGGTAAACGTCTGAGACCTGCATCACTTCGGGCTTTCCTCCCACAATAAGCTAACATGCCGCAATTTAACTGTAATACTGTTAAAAGCGGCATTAAACACAACTCACTCACTCATGAGAAACATCAATGAACTACAGTCAGGAAAGTAGTCTGTCATAATCTGACCTCAGGTCATCACCATGGAATAGCCAATCCTGGAATTCAATTTCACATGTTTGATACCAGTTATCTCAAAGTGACCTACTCACCTGGAGTTTGAGCCGATGAGCTTCGATGGGGATGATCTTGAGAACTGGTAGTTCTTGAATGAGCTGTTTGGGTTTCTGACGGATGAGACACAGGCCGTACATGAAACAACCTGACGACAGCAACACATGGAACTTTCATGGCATTGTATAGGCTTATGGCTCAAAGAGAGGAGATCAAATCAGGTTTAACATCACATTCAAGATTGTTTCTCTCACATAGAGACATGCATGCACATGAGTGTGACTGCTTGTGCTAGTCCAGACTATGCCAGTTTAATAGTGCTAGGCTACTCTGGGTAGGGTAATGATATAGCTCAAAGAAAAACATGTAATTTCATTTTGAAGCAGAAATAAACTTACAGATCAATCTGATAATTTAAAGGGTTTGAAAATTGGGGTCTATAAATGTCACTGTGTACTATTTGTTTGTATATTTGTTGTTTAACGCCACACTCAGCAATATTCCAGCTATATGACGGGGGTCTTAAATAATCGGGTCTGGATCAGACAATCGGGTGATTGCCATTATGAGCATCGATCCACACAATTGGGATACGATGACATGCATCAACCAAGTCAGCTAGTATGACCACCCGATCCAGTTAGTCGACTCTTACGACAAGCATCGTCGCCTTTTACGGCAAGCATGGGTTGCTGAAGACCTATTCTATCCCGGATCTTGACGGGTCCACAGTGTACTGACCAGCATGTGCCCGTTCTGTGACGTCCTCCGCGGCCTGGTACTGTGTGACGCTGGTGTACAGAGTGGACTTGTCCAGTGGCCAGCTGTTCTTACGACATGTCGCTTGCACCAAGGCCGTGAGATAGGACTCCGGTATGTGCAGACCGGACAACCACATCACAGAGGGCTCACCTTCATTCACCTGCCACAAACAGACGTTCACAATCAAATATTTATCCTGTGTACATTTTAAGAACACTAATAACAACTATGTATATTTAGTTATATATGAGTTCATTGAAAACCAGTGTTACCAATATGAATGTTGACCACTGAAATAATGATAAAGGATGTCTTGCAACATATTGCACTGTTATCGTACTGCGATACGCATTGCGATATATTGGGAGCTTCAGTGTTTGACAGTGATGTAACACTAATTGTACATGCAGATTATAATGTTCCACATACTAAAGTTAATATTTTTATTTGCCGCCATTTTGAAGTTGTGAATACAGGGTAGATAACAGAATGATTGTGAAATCACTTCAACGTTACCAGTGTTTTTTTTATTATAAATTTGAAGGGGAACATCATTTGTGATTAAGTTTCTTGGCAGATTTTACAATACAAATAATAATGTAAATTGTTACATTGTTTTACAGAAACACATATTGCAATATGTATGATTTGAAAAGCGTATTGCAGAATACCGATATATGTGCAGAATAGGTAAATATCTCATGCTTGTCTTGTTAGAAAATTTGTGTTATAATATGTGATTTGCCTAATTGTGTGTCAATGTAGGAATAATAATAATCATAATCATAATCATAATCATAATAATAAAATTCCCCAATCTCATTGAAATCAGACCTAAGTTCTCGCTGCTGCGAAACAAAGATCTGAGGACATCCCATTATGGGTCACGTCAGAACGACCTTTCGCGAACTTTGACCGACCACCGAAATGACTAACAAGAAGTCGACATCAGCCAATTAGAAAGCAGCTTTCTCGAGCTTTACGACACTCGTTTTAACCTGGCGACTTCAATTTCAGACTTCGCTTGAAAACTATGTTGACACAGTTCTTGATTAATTTTTTTTAAACTGAACAAAGGAACATTCCGGAATCCCGTGCTTCCCACGTACTGTGCAACGCCTCCTCTGTTCAAATGTTTATCCCGCGGAAGTGAGAGATAGACGATCATTTTGACGGAATCAGTCGTATTGGCCATAACTGTCGTTCGGAATACACCATGTCAACGTTTTCGAGGTTGCATGATTAGAAAACACATTCCGACTGTCACTTTCATGATCTGGTAAGCGACGCTTTGATTGGTCGGATGAAAGGTCGTTCTGATGTGATCCGTAATGGGATGTCCTCAGATCTTTGTTTAGTGATAGCGAGAACTTAGGTCTGATTTTAATGAGATTGCAAAATTCCCCAAAACCAAGTGACATGCTCAAAATGCATGATATTATACCTTGTCAATGGATCAGAGTATGTTCATACTGCATTCTCAGTTACAGTAGGAGTACACAACCAAAGCTACCATGCATTTACATTACCATCTCACCTACCATTCACTGCTGGGTACTCAGAAACAGGTTAGAAACATTCACTTGCTTAAAGAAACTCCATGTTTTATAATTTGGCAAATGCACTAGAAACCCTTGGGAGTCTTTCCAAACGTGATTCCCCATCCATCTACTCTCCGCCACCAGCTTCAGCTGATTTGTTACTTGTGTGCCACTTACAAGACCCAGAGGGCACGGATGGCCCAGTCGTCTAAGGCGCCGCAATTCGTTGTGCAGAGTTGTGTGCCTTGGACACTCCAGAAACCTATGATTGTGGGTTTGAATCCCGGTTCGCCCCGATTATGTTTCTAGGTTTGTCGGCACCATACCCGTGCTCGTGGGTTTCACCGAAGTGGTAAACGTCTGAGACCTGCATCACTTAGGGCTTTCCTCCCACATTAAGCTGACACGCCGTGATATAACTGGAATAATGTTAAAAGCGGCGTTAAACCCAACTCACTCACTCACTCATCAAGGAAGAGGGAAAGTTTTGTTCATTATTTGTTGAGTTCTCTAAAGCATTTGACTTATATACAGGTGTAAATTATGGAGATTATTTAATGCACGTGGACTTAGTTCCAAAATGTTTACATTATTTTGTAGAATATATGACAATGTTAAAACGTGTATACCACAGAAGGGTGTAATGCAATGTTTGAATGCAAGTTTAGCCTATGCCAAGGGTGTATATTACGTCCGTTTTTATGTTCCTTTTTCATAAATTAATTAGTTCAACAAATCAATAATAGTTGTACAAAAGGTATTCAATTACATCAAGATCCTGTTCAACGCTTTCTGTATTATTTGGCAGATGATATTATCATGTTCTCAAGCACAGCTGGTGACATGCAATTAATGTATTAGAACATTAGTGTGATGAATGGAAAGTCACTGTTAATAGAGTCAAAACGAAAATTAGTGTATTAAACAAATAGCTGTAAACTTAAAACTTTGGATGTAACTACGCACTATAAATATTTGGATGTTCATTTCAGTAACAATCTAAATTGGTCTACACATGTGATAGAAGTATTAGTCCAGGCCAAGAAGATTTTATTTGGCATTATGAAGAATATACACATATTTTTAAGAAGAAATTTATGAAGAATACACAAATACAAATAATTTGCACGTCATTCTTTAATATTTTTCATGTTAAATAAACCAATATGACTTTACGGTGCTGGAATATGGGGATTAAAACAATTCAATGTTTTATAAAAGCTTCACTTGTATGCGTGCAAACTATTTTGTGTGTGTAAAACTATATAAATGCTTAATTTAATAATTAATAACACACACACACGCACACACACACACACACACACACACACACACACACACACACACACACACACACACACACACACACACACACATTCTGTCTTTCAAAAGCATTTGGTATGGGTCTGGTCTAACCTTTAGGTCCAAGGTTCAAATCCCATTTGGGCAGTTGTATTTGACCTTAACGACGAGTTTATCATTTTATGTATTCTAGCAACTAACACCACAGTAATCTTTATCACACTATTGAAACACTATTTCTGATCGCTTCTATTTGACAAGTAAAAGCTGATAAAAAATATCACATAAACAAAGAAACATCTCAAGCCTAGACACACCACGAGTGGTGGAGTGAGTCAGCACTATTGTATCCGTCATAAGACATTGTGACCGGCCCGTGAAGATTCCGGAGTAGAATAGGTCTTCAGCAACCCATACTTGCCGTAAAAGGCGACTATGCTTGTCGTAAAAGGCGACAAACGGGATCGGGTGGTCAGGCTCGCTGACTTGGTTGATACATGTCATCGATCCCAATTTCGTGGATCGATGCTCATGCTATTAATCACTGGATTGTCTTGTCCAGACTCGATTATTTACAGACCGCCGTCATATAGCTGGAATATTGCTGAGTGCGGCGTTAAACAACAAACCAACCAACAAACCAACATTGTGACCAGGTATGGACTCTGCAACCTCATCGAGCCTCGGCCCACGCACACCACACTCTATTATATAGAACTTATCTATCAATATAGATTCCACTGGGCGTAAAAGGCAAAATAATGGTGAAAACCAATGATGACACCAGGTGTTCGCTGAAAGGGTAAATATTTCCTTCTCTGCCTGTTGCAATCACCACTCACATAAATCACTGGTATAACAACATCTAAGTTGAGCCTTTTGTTATTCTCGCCATCGGTTCGCTTTATACAATTTGTATTCCTAACATCTTTACGTTACGGAAACACAAGTTGTCTATTTATGTTTTCAGACTATGAATATTGAGCGGTTACTATTTCGTGAGTGAGTGAGTTTGATTTTGCACCGATTTTGGCAATATTCCAGCAATATCACGGCGGGGGACACCAGAAATGGGCTTCACACATTGTACCCATGTCGGGAATCGAACCCGGGTCTTCGGCGCGACGAGCAAACGCTTGAACCACTAGGCTACCCGACCGCCCCGTTATTATTTAGTATTCGATACGCGGATAGTTGAACACAAGCATAGCGATGCTGGTGATTGTTGGCAAATTTAGCCGATTATCAACACATTTCCTACGATTAAAAGATGTGTCAGTTATACAACAAGTTTGGATGGCGTGTCATCACATCCCTACAGATCAATAACTGGATTATCTGGTCCAGACTCGATTATTTACAGACCGCCGTCAAATATCTGGAATATTGCTTAGTGACGTGTTAAACAACAAACGAAATAGTGTGCATCAGTGCTTGTGTCATAGCACCCAAAAAGTGTGTTTCAGTTTTTTTGTCATAGCGCCCCAAAAGTATGTATCAGTGCTTGTGTCATAGCGCCCCAAAAGTGTGTATCTGTGCTTGTGTCATAGCACCCCAACAATGTGTATCGGTGCGTGTGTCACAGCGCCCCAACAATGTGTATCGGTGCGTGTGTGTCATAGCGCCCCAACAATGTGTATCAGTGCGTGTGTGTAATAGCGTCCCAACAATGTGTATCGGTGCGTGTGTGTCATCGCACCCCAACAATGTGTATCAGTGCTTGTGTGTCATAGCGCCCCAACAATGTGTATCAGTGCTTGTGTCACAGCGCCCCAACAATATGTATCGGTGCGTGTGTGTCATAGCGCCCCATCAATGTGTATCGGTGCGTGTGTGTCATAGCACCCCAACAATGTATATCAGTGCGTGTGTGTCATCGCACCCCAACAATGTGTATCGGTGCGTTTGTGTCATCGCACCCCAACAATGTGTATCAGTGCGTGTGTGTCATCGCACCCCAACAATGTGTATCGGTGCTTGGGTGCTTGTGTGTCATCGCGCCCCAACAATGTGTATCAGTGCGTGTTTATCATCGCACCACAACAATGTGTATCAGTGCTTATGTGTCATCGCACCCAAACAATGTGTATCGGTGCGTGTGTGTCATCGCACCCCAGCAATGTGTATCGGTGCTTGTGTGTTATCGCACCCCAACAATGTATATCGGTGCGTGTGTGTCATAGCGCCCCAACAATGTGTATCGGTGCGTGTGTGTCATCGCACCCCAACAATGTGTATCGGTGCGTGTGTGTCATCGCACCCGAAAAGTGTGTATCAGTGCGTGTGTGTCATCGCATCCCAAAAGTGTGTATCGGTGCGTGTGTGTCATCGCACACCAACAATGTGTATCGGTGCGTGTGTGTCATCGCACCCCAAAAGTGTGTATCGGTGCTTGTGTGTCACCGCATCCCAAAAGTGTGTAACGGTGCTTGTGTGACATCGTACCCCAAAAGTGTGTATCGGTGCTTGTGTGTCACCGCATCCCAAAAGTGTGTATTGGTGCTTGTGTGACATCGCATCTCAAAAGTGTGTATCGCTGCTTGTGTGACATCGCATCCCAAAAGTGTGTATCGGTGCGTGTGTGTCACCGCATCCCAAAAGTGTGTATCGGTGCTTGTGTGACATCGCATCCCAAAAGTGTGTACCGCTGCTTGTGTGACATCGCATCCCAAAAGTGTGTATCGCTGCTTGTGTGACATTGCATCCCAAAAGTGTGTATCGCTGCTTGTGTGTCACCGCATCCCAAAAGTGTGTATCGGTGCTTGTGTGACATCGCATCCCAAAAGTGTGTATCGCTGCTCGTGTGACATCGCATCCCAAAAGTGTGTATCGCTGCTTGTGTGTCACCACATCCCAAAAGTGTGTATCGGTGCTTGTGTGACATCGCATCCCAAAAGTGTGTATCGCTGCTTGTGTGACATCGCATCCCAAAAGTGTGTATCGCTTCTTGTGTGTCACCGCATCCCAAAAGTGTGTATCGGTGCTTGTGTGACATCGCATCCCAAAAGTGTGTATCGCTGCTTGTGTGACATCGCATCCCAAAAGTGTGTATCGCTGCTTGTGGGTCATTGCACCCCCCGGTGTCAATCACTGATCATACTAAACTTTAACCTATAACAACATTCACTTACATTGAAAATTGAACCCTTGATTCCAGTTATACATGTTTAATACCTTTTCACAATATGCATAATACTCTCTTTTGGGAAATTAGATATCTTTTCTTTAAAAAAATGAAATTTAAAATCAAACTTGCCAGCTTTCATTATCTGTCACCACTGTCCTGTGTCAAAAATCAGTTCAACGTGATTAGAAAGAAATACCAAATTGTTGCCTCAAAAGAATTCTTTAAAAAATTCAGGATCATAGTTTTCAATAAAAACTTTATCTGTTTTTGTAGCTGTAGCAACGACATATTAAACATGATAATATAAGTGACAAGTCTTCACCACTGATACTATGCACCATCATTAGTGTATTGGAAGGTTTTGAATTTGAATATGTTGCCCAGCCAATTCATTTATTTCCACAAGACTTCAAACGTGGTCCCATCAAACCCAACCTCAAGTGGTTTCATGTTGGTGAATTTGATGTAGTTTCTGAAAATAAAGAAAACCATATATCAGAATTATGCTCAGCTGTGGTTCTGTGTGTGACAACTGACCAGCCTAATACTGACCTAGGTCACTGGGTGTCATCGTGTCATCGAGTGTCGTGATGTTTGTTTGTGGTTTAACGCCGCACACGGCAATATTCCAGCTATATGACGGCGGTCTGTAAATAATCGAGTTTGGAGCCTGACCACCCGATCCCGTTAGTCGTCTCTTACCACAGGCATAGTCACCTTTTACGGAAAGCATGTGTCGTGATGTAAATATAGTAGTAAATGTCTATGTTGAATCAATACAAGTTTATGAATATCGATACAAAGTCAATAGTTCACTGTCACATAAATGTCTACAGATTACCCTGGGTTAGATGGGCAATGAGGATGCGAAAAGTCAGTGGACTCACTCGCCAACAAGGCTTCATATTCATGTACTCTTATGATAAATATTCAACATGTCAACTATTGAGTTTTCATGTATCATATTGTGTATCCTGTTGCAACCTTACAAGACTATCAAGATATCTATTGTATAGCCAATAAGTGTATCGTTACATGCTCAAGCCTTAGGCAGTGGCCACGTGTTGTCTTAATTTACCACAAGCATAAAGTACGCAATTTATTCTCCCTCAGAAATCCACCAACATGACCGATACTTCAGCATTTCAATGCAGACCCATTTGCTATTTCTAACCTTTTTGGGTCAATACCAAGCTTTTGTTGCAGGAATTCTGAAATTTCTTTGGACATCTGAATGTTTTCCTCATTCCCCATGTTTCCAATACTCTGCAGCTCGGAGTTGGCACATGGATCAGTCGTGCCCCCGTGGCTCATCATCTGATCTGGATGAATCCTCACCGTCACATACTGAAATCAGTTCCGTAATTTAAAAGTTCTCTAAAACTCTAATGCATTTATTTTTTGCAGATACCTCGTACTCAGGCGTTTAATCGATGAAATACGGTACCCTGCATCTATTCAGGCCATAGCCTTGTTATCAGAGGTCACTAATAATGTTACCCTCTCGCATTTCCAAAGGCCTCGAAATGTAAACATCACGTCGGTGACGCCGAACACTATTCACGGACAATGCAAATAATGACTATGTTCGTCCTAAACACTGCGAGGTATCCCCTTTTCAACATCACAATGTATACAATATGAGCTGTGAAAGAGCTATTTACACAGATTCTTACACCGATTTTATGAACAATGACAGTAGGTTTTACTCCTTAAGACGTTAAAAGATGGTACTTGTTGTTATCTTGTCTGGCGCTCGGCATTAAGGGGCTAAAACAAGGACTGGTCGGCTCGGAGTCAGTATACTGTGTCTGAGTGGGGTATTCATGTGAAACTGCAGCATTGTATCTCAGTGAGCTAGCACTATAAATCGGCATCACTATAAATCGGACTAGTACAAGCAGCCACCCACACCCACACGTGCATGCCCGTCGCTATATAAGTGCAATAATCTTGGACGAGACGTTAAACCCCATTTAACCTCTTCTCACCTAATACTTATCGCACAGTTTCACTTCCTTCTTATGTCTGTAACTTTAGAACCACTTTCTTACCGCACAACAATTTCGTGGATCAATGCTCATGATATCAATCACTGGATTGTCTGGCCCAGACTCGATTATTTACAGACCGCCGTCAGATAGCTGGAATATTGCTGAGTGCGGCGTAAAATAACAAACCAACCAAACAACCAACCAAACCGCACAAGAAATTTCTGCCAAAAGCATAGTGGAGATTGTTTCTTACACCCATATTAATATGCTCATATATTATTTCCTTGTGAATATATACATTTTAGAGAGGAGTTTACAAAGGGTTTTTCCAACATGTCCTGATATGATAAATCTTGACATCTAGTAAATTTCTAAAAATAGGTTTCCCGCCAACAATTTGATAACACATTGTTATATTCTGATATGTTTTTCGCAATACTACTATAAAGAACATTTACTGGTCACAACACATGTTGTGGTTTGGATAAAAATTATTCTTGTGCATGCTAGCTTGAACTTACAATTTCCGGTTTCCGAATGGCTTTGGCAATGACTGTTGAGGTTTCCATCAAAAAACCCTTTGGGATGGCACTTGCTTGCAGATTCGTGAACAGAAGAAAACACGGCATGGCTACACTGACTCCGAGACTCAAGCTTTTCTGCTGACACACACCGCTGTCCTCGCTTTGTAAATGGAGAGCTTCTGTCGTTCTGATGTGCGTTGTTGTGACAGGTTCAAGCTACCCCACGAGAATGCGCTCACACAATATTAACATGAGTTGGCACATTATGCGAATCTGCATGCAGTACCTGTTCGTATGTGTACACTCCTGATCGGATTCGGGGTCAGGACAGGTTTTGTTTGTTGTTTTGCTTGTCATCTGTGTTAACTGAACATGGGGCGAGGCTCCATGACTTTGCAGAATCCATACCTGGTCACAATGTCTTATGACGGATACAATAGTGCTGAATCACTCCACCACTCGTGGTATGTCAAGACTTGAGATGTTTCTTTGTTTATGTGATATTTTTTATCAGCTTTTACTTGTCAAATAGAAGCGGTCAAGAATAGTGTTTCAATAGTGTGATAAAGATTACTGTGGTGTTTGTTGCTAGAATACATAAAATGATCAAATAAAATTGCCCAAGTGGGATTTTAACCTTGGACCTAAAGGTTAGACCAGACCCATACCAAATGCTTTTGAAAGACAGAATGTGTGTGCGTGCGTGTGTGTGCGTGCGTGCGTGCGTGCGTGCGTGCGTGTGTGTGACTATGAACACGTGTCTCTTGCTGTGTGTGGATGTGTGTGCATTATTCATTGTTATTACAGGTGACGTAGTATGTGGTATTGATGTAGACTATTTTGTAACAGTATTCGTATTGATGACATCACGTAAATTGGAGCAGAAAACAGAAACAAAATAAGATGAGAGGTACTTTTTTGTTATAGAAGCATTGTATTCACATATAAACATAACATGGTATTCATTCTCAATACATTTACGTTTTGGAGAAACAGATGTCGCAGAATCGGTCATTAAGAGGAATGTAACAGTGTCTTACAAGTTCCAAACTTCAACGGAAAATATAACATCTGAGCTCTAAGATACAAAGCCTAATGAAATGTAGAATGTTAGACAGCGATTTAGACGACGTTTTATATGACAGTCTAGTGTCACTAACCCTCTCAAGAGTACTTTGTAGTAAAAATTGAAGAGATTGATTTTTTCACTTTTCAACATCATAATGTTACATTGCTCCGTACACAAACCAACCAAACTGGAGATGGGACTTGCCCCAGAGGGAGGCACAGAACCCATCCAAGAATATCTTTGAGGTACCAACATAAGTCCACACTTTATGGGTGTGTGAAAGCAACACGATGGACAGATATACCACGTATAAATGGCAAATTACTGAAGCAGCATTGGGACAAAGCCATGCAAATGTATGTATACCTGACAGAGCAGAATGTTTGTGACCAGCTCCGGCGACTGAAGTTGTATATGCGCCTGGATAGAACTTTGCTTAAAATTATGTTCCTCAGGGCAATCAATGTCAAAACACCAAAAATCAATTTGGAAACAATTATAACAAAATACAAGACAAGAAAAGAGAAAATTCTAAATCAAATTCTTGATTATCTGAAGGCAAAGTTAAAGGTTTGGACAGAGAGAAAAAGAAAGTGGGATAAGAAAAATAATTTCATGAAACAAAATGAATTGTTCAAATCTAATGAAAAGCAGTTTTACAGGCAATTAAATGCAACCAATGGAAGTGATGTGAAAATACCCACCATGGATTCCAGTGAAAGGTTTTGGAAAGAGTTGAGGACTATACCCGGCAACTGTAACCTCGAGGAGCCATTGGTAGAGGATTACAATGAAAGGGTTTGGAAAGAGTTGAGGACTATACCCGGCAACTGTTACCTCGAGGAGCCATGGGTAGTGGATTACAATGAAAGGTTTTGGAAAGAGTTGAGGACTATACCCGGCAACTGTAACCTCGAGGAGCCATGGGTAGAGGATTACAATGAAAGGTTTTGGAAAGAGTTGAGGACTATACCCGTCAACTGTAACCTCGAGGAGCCATGGGTAGAGGATTCCAATGAAAGATTTTGGAAAGAGTTGAGGACTATACCCAGCAACTGTAACCTCGAGGAGCCATGGGTAGAGGATTACAATGAAAGGTTTTGGAAAGAGTTGAGGGCTATACCAACTGTAACCTCGAGGAGTCATGGGTAGAGGATTACAATGAAAGGTTTTGGAAAGAGTTGAGGACTATACCCGGCAACTGTTACCTCGAGGAGCCATGGGTAGAGGATTACAATGAAAGGTTTTGGAAAGAGTTGAGGACTATACCCGTCAACTGTAACCTCGAGGAGCCATGGGTAGAGGATTCCAATGAAAGGTTTTGGAAAGAGTTGAGGACTATACCCGTCAACTGTAACCTCGAGGAGCCATGGGTAGAGGATTACAATGAAAGGTTTTGGAAAGCGTTGAGGACTATACCAACTGTAACCTCGAGGAGCCATGGGTAGAGGATTACAATGAAAGGTTTTGGAAAGAGTTGAGGACTATACCCGGCAACTGTTACCTCGAGGAGCCATGGGTAGAGGATTACAATGAAAGGGTTTGGAAAGAGTTGAGGACTATACCAACTGTAACCTCGAGGAGCCATGGGTAGAGGATTACAATGAAAGGGTTTGGAAAGCGTTGAGGACTATACCAACTGTAACCTCGAGGAGCCATGGGTAGAGGATTACAATGAAAGGGTTTGGAAAGCGTTGAGGACTATACCAACTGTAACCTCGAGGAGCCATGGGTAGAGGATTACAATGAAAGGTTTTGGAAAGAGTTGAGGACTATACCCGTCAACTGTAACCTCGAGGAGCCATGGGTAGAGGATTACAATGAAAGGTTTTGGAAAGAGTTGAGGACTATACCCGGCAACTGTAACCTCGAGGAGCCATGGGTAGAGGATTACAATGAAAGGGTTTGGAAAGAGTTGAGGACTATACCCGGCAACTGTAACCTCGAGGAGCCATGGGTAGAGGATTACAATGAAAGGGTTTGGAAAGAGTTGAGGACTATACCCGTCAACTGTAACCTCGAGTAGCCATGGGTAGAGGATTACAATGAAAGGTTTTGGAAAGAGTTGAGGACTATACCCGTCAACTGTAACCTCGAGGAGCCATGGGTAGAGGATTCCAATGAAAGGGTTTGGAAAGAGTTGAGGACTATACCCGTCAACTGTAACCTCGAGGAGCCATGGGTAGAGGATTCCAATGAAAGGGTTTGGAAAGAGTTGAGGACTATACCCGTCAACTGTAACCTCGAGGAGCCATGGGTAGAGGATTACAATGAAAGGGTTTGGAAAGAGTTGAGGACTATACCCGGCAACTGTAACCTCGAGGAGCCATGGGTAGAGGATTACAATGAAAGGGTTTGGAAAGAGTTGAGGACTATACCCGGCAACTGTAACCTCGAGGAGCCATGGGTAGAGGATTCCAATGAAAGGTTTTGGAAAGAGTTGAGGACTATACCCGGCAACTGTAACCTCGAGGAGCCATGGGTAGAGGATTACAATGAAAGGTTTTGGAAAGAGTTGAGGACTATACCCGTCAACTGTAACCTCGAGGAGCCATGGGTAGAGGATTACAATGAAAGGTTTTGGAAAGAGTTGATGACTATACCCGGCAACTGTAACCTCGAGAAGCCATGGGTAGAGGATTACAATGAAAGGTTTTGGAAAGAGTTGAGGACTATACCAGGCAACTGTAACCTCGAGGAGCCATGGGTAGAGGATTACAATGAAAGGTTTTGGAAAGAGTTGAGGACTATACCCGTCAACTGTAACCTCGAGGAGCCATTGGTAGAGGATTACAATGAAAGGTTTTGGAAAGAGTTGAGGACTATACCCGGCAACTGTAACCTCGAGGAGCCATGGGTAGAGGATTACAATGAAAGGGTTTGGAAAGAGTTGAGGACTATACCCGGCAACTGTAACCTCGAGGAGCCATGGGTAGAGGATTACAATGAAAGGTTTTGGAAAGAGTTGAGGACTATACCCGTCTACTGTAACCTCGAGTAGCCATGGGTAGAGGATTACAATGAAAGAGTTGAGGACTATACCCGTCAACTGTAACCTCGAGGAGCCATGGGTAGAGGATTCCAATGAAAGGGTTTGGAAAGAGTTGAGGACTATACCCGTCAACTGTAACCTCGAGGAGCCATGGGTAGAGGATTACAATGAAAGGTTTTGGAAAGAGTTGAGGACTATACCCGTCTACTGTAATCTCGAGGAGCCATGGGTAGAGGATTACAATGAAAGGGTTTGGAAAGAGTTGAGGACTGTACCCGGCAACTGTAACCTCGAGGAGCCATGGGTAGAGGATTCCAGTGAAAAGTTTTGGAAAGAGTTGAGGACTATACCAACTGTAACCTCGAGGAGCCATGGGTAGAGGATTACAATGAAAGGTTTTGGAAAGAGTTGAGGACTATACCCGGCAACTGTAACCTCGAGGAGCCATGGGTAGAGGATTCCAATGAAAGGTTTTGGAAAGAGTTGAGGACTATACCAGGCAACTGTAACCTCGAGGAGCCATGGGTAGAGGATTACAATGAAAGGTTTTGGAAAGTGTTGAGGACTATACCCGTCAACTGTAACCTCGAGGAGTCATGGGTAGAGGATTCCAGTGAAAGGGTTTGGAAAGAGTTGAGGACTATACCCGGCAACTGTAACCTCGAGGAGCCATGGGTAGAGGATTACAATGAAAGGGTTTGGAAAGAGTTGAGGACTATACCCGGCAACTGTAACCTCGAGGAGCCATGGGTAGAGGATTACAATGAAAGGGTTTGGAAAGAGTTGAGGACTATACCCGGCAACTGTAACCTCGAGGAGCCATGGGTAGAGGATTATAATGAAAGGGTTTGGAAAGAGTTGAGGACTATACCCGTCAACTGTAACCTCGAGGAGCCATGGGTAGAGGATTACAATGAAAGGGTTTGGAAAGAGTTGAGGACTATACCCGGCAACTGTAACCTCGAGGAGCCATGGGTAGAGGATTCCAGTGAAAGGTTTTGGAAAGAGTTGAGGACTATACCCGTCAACTGTAACCTCGAGGAGCCATGGGTAGAGGATTACAATGAAAGGGTTTGGAAACAGTTGAGGACTATACCCGTCTACTGTAATCTCGAGGAGCCATGGGTAGAGGATTCCAATGAAAGGTTTTGGAAAGAGTTGAGGACTGTACCCGGCAACTGTAACCTCGAGGAGCCATGGGTAGAGGATTCCAGTGAAAAGTTTTGGAAAGAGTTGAGGACTATACCAACTGTAACCTCGAGGAGCCATGGGTAGAGGATTACAATGAAAGGTTTTGGAAAGAGTTGAGGACTATACCCGGCAACTGTAACCTCGAGGAGCCATGGGTAGAGGATTACAATGAAAGGTTTTGGAAAGAGTTGAGGACTATACCCGTCAACTGTAACCTCGAGGAGCCATGGGTAGAGGATTACAATGAAAGGTTTTGGAAATCGTGAGGACTATACCCGTCAACTGTAACCTCGAGGAGTCATGGGTAGAGGATTCCAGTGAAAGGGTTTGGAAAGAGTTGAGGACTATACCCGTCAACTGTAACCTCGAGGAGCCATGGGTAGAGGATTACAATGAAAGGGTTTGGAAAGAGTTGAGGACTATACCCGGCAACTGTAACCTCGAGGAGCAATGGGTAGAGGATTACAATAAAAGGGTTTGGAAAGAGTTGAGGACTATACCCAGCAACTGTAACCTCGAGGAGCCATGGGTAGAGGATTACAATGAAAGGGTTTTGAAAGAGTTGAGGACTATACCCGGCAACTGTAACCTCGAGGAGCCATGGGTAGAGGATTACAATGAAAGGGTTTGGAAAGAGTTGAGGACTATACCCGGCAACTGTAGTCTCGTGTAGCCATGGGTAGAGGATTCCAATGAAAGGGTTTGGAAACAGTTGAGGACTATACCCGTCAACTGTAACCTCGAGGAGCCATGGGTAGAGGATTCCAATGAAAGGGTTTGGAAAGAGTTGAGGACTATACCCGGCAACTGTAACCTCAAGGAGCCATGGGTAGAGGATTACAATGAAAGGGTTTGGAAAGAGTTGAGGACTATACCCGGCAACTGTAACCTCGAGGAGCCATGGGTAGAGGATTACAATGAAAGGTTTTGGAAAGAGTTGAGGACTATACCCGGCAACTGTAACCTCGGGAGCCATGGGTAGAGGATTCCAATGAAAGGGTTTGGAAAGAGTTGAGGACTATACCCGGCAACTGTAACCTCGAGGAGCCATGGGTAGAGGATTCCAATGAAAGGGTTTGGAAAGAGTTGAGGACTATACCCGTCAACTGTAACCTCGAGGAGCCATGGGTAGAGGATTCCAATGAAAGGGTTTGGAAAGAGTTGAGGACTATACCCGTCAACTGTAACCTCGAGGAGCCATGGGTAGAGGATTACAATGAAAGGTTTTGGAAAGAGTTGAGGACTATACCCGGCAACTGTTACCTCGAGGAGCCATGGGTAGAGGATTACAATGAAAGGTTTTGGAAAGAGTTGAGGACTATACCCGGCAACTGTAACCTCGAGGAGGAGCCATGGGTAGAGGATTCCAATGAAAGGGTTTGGAAAGAGTTGAGGACTATACCCGTCAACTGTAACCTCGAGGAGCCATGGGTAGAGGATTCCAATGAAAGGGTTTGGAAACAGTTGTGGACTATACCCGTCAACTGTAACCTCGAGGAGCCATGGGTAGAGGATTCCAATGAAAGGTTTTGGAAAGAGTTGAGGACTATACCAACTGTAACCTCGAGTAGCCATGGGTAGAGGATTACAATGAAAGGGTTTGGAAACAGTTGAGGACTATACCAACTGTAACCTCGAGGAGCCATGGGTAGAGGATTACAATGATAGTGTACACGAAAAACTAAGGTCACCATTGTTGTGTTTCATTTCATCTGATTGTCTGAAAAATGTAAGTAACATTCTTCAACGTGGCAAGGTAGAAGAGGAAAGATCATTCGGTTAACTTGGGGAAGAAGTTATTGACCATCTCGTGGAAGGTCAGGCCTTCACGTATTTAGGGATGCAGGTTAGGGACAAACTCCAGAATGCCCATATCAAGGAAAAACTACCAAATGACTGAAGAATATGAGTACCAAATGACTGAGTTCAGAGCTGAACGCTCACAACAAAGTTAAAGCCACAAATACTCGTGCTGTACCCGTCCTTTCATGATCAAAACAAGGCATTCCACAGTTGTCTTAAACGAGCCAAGTATGTGGGATATAAACTCAATGTCAGTGTTGATTTTGTTGATTGTTCTGTACTGCTGGACGGTACAGAAGTGAGTGTAAAGCAAGCGAAGTGCCATATCAAATCAGCTCAGGCTATCTGAACGACCACTGCATCGAGTTTATGAGCAGTGTGTTGAGAGGGTCAGCAACCCTGCAGCGTCCTTCGCTTGGATGAAGTTAGCTGGCCTGAAAAGTGAAACAGAAGGCTTTCTGTTTGCTGCTCCGGACCAGTCACATTCCGCTCGAAAACGTCAATGTGTGATTTTGCATCAAAATGTAAATATGAAATGAAGAATATGCAATGAATATAATGAGACTGTCCAACATATTGTCAGTGGCTGCCCAGCGTTTGCACAATCACGGTATTTTAAACAACATGATTGGAGTGGCTCGATCATTTTATACACTGTCTTCGCCATGCTTATGGTTTGACACAAACGTAAATCCATGGTACGACCCGGAATATGTACAGGGCGTCAAGGAAAATGCTCAATTCAAAATTCTTTGGAAAAGGCCCGCATACAGCCTCAGACCTATCCAGGCCAACAAACCTGATCTTGTCCTTTTTAATAAATCAATGAAAACATTCTTATCATGGAATTTTCTGTCCCTATTGACACTAATGTGATTGACAAGATTAAGGATATACCAAGTTGTCCGACTCCCCATTGTTCCCGGTGCCTTAGGTTTGGTACCTCCCAATCTGCTGACTGACTTTGGGAGAGTATCTGGGTTTGCTACCAGGAATACAACCCTTCTGACAATCTGGGTAATGCAAAAGGCTACAATGTTTGGGGAGTCTTCACATTTTCCGAAAAGTTCTAGGTGGGTTTGACAAGGCAGCGTTTCCTGGGAGAAGTCCCATTCGCTGTCTTGGCTGCGTGTGGAGGGGGCAAGGGCCCTGACCTGATGATGAGGCTAACCAGAAAAGGATCACCCAAACCCTCTTTGCTTCTTTTTTTTATATTAATCTGTACATAACAATAACAATATGAAAGGACAATACAACGTGAAAAAAACCAATCTCATTAAAAGAGAAACACTTCTGCCCCTAAACAAAGATCTGAGGACATCCCATTACGGGTCATGTCAGAACGACCTTTCGCGAACTCTGACCGACCACTGAAATGACTAACAAGAAATCGACAACAGCCAATTAGAAAGCAGCTTTTTCGAGCTTTACGACACTCGTTTTAACCTGGTGACTTCCATTTCAGACTACGCTTGAAAAATATGTTGACACAGTTCTCGATTAAAATTTTGAAAACTGAACAAAGGAACATTCCGGAATGTCTAATATTTGGTTGAGATTGTATAGCAGTGCTTCCCACGTAATGTGCAACGCCCCCTCCGTTCAAATGTTTATCCCATGGAAGCGAGAGATAGACAACGGGATCAGTCGTACGGGCCGTAACTGTCGTTCGGAATACCCCGTGTTAACGTTTTCGAGGTTGCATTTATCAGAAAACACATTCCGACTTTCACTTTCCTGATCTTGTAAGCGACGCTTTGATTGGTCGAATGAAAGGTCGTTCTGACGTGACCCGTAATGGGATGTCCTCAGATCTTTGTTTAGCGATAGCGAGAACTAAAATCTGATTTTAATGAGATTGTGAACAAATAAGCAAACAAAGTAAGGGCACTAAACTAGGGACCATGGGGTCTTCTGCCACCTGTATGGAACTCCCAGCAGGACCATCTCCCTAACTGCGATTGTTGGCACATTTAGAAGAATATTAACAGAACATATATTCAACGATTAAAACCGAGTTTATCAGTGCTTCTGGTGTCAATCACTGATGTGTGTTTGTTGTATAACGCCACACTCAGCAGTAGTCCAGTAATGGCGGCGAATCAAGTCTGGACCAGACAATCCAGTGATTGATATTGTGGTTGGTTAGTTGTTTTACGCCGCACTCAGCAATATTCCGGCTTTATGACGGCGGTCTGTAAATATTCGAGTCTGGACCAGGCAATCCAGTGATTGATATTGTGGTTGGTTAGTTGTTTTACGCCGCACTCAGCAATATTCCGGCTTTATGACGGCGGTCTGTAAATAATCGAGTCTGGACCAGGCAATCCAGTGATTGATATCATGAGCATCGATCCAAGCAACTGGGGTCGATGACCTGCATCAACCAAGTCAGCCTGACCACCCGATCCCGTTTTTCGCCTCTTAAGACAAGCATTGTCGCCTTTTACGGCAAGCATGGGTTGCTGAAGACCTATTCCACCCCGGATCTTCACGGGTCGATTGATAATGAGACCCTCATGGTCGGGGTACGTTGACACGCCATCACCCAAGTCACTGAGTCTGACCATTTTTCCATTTAGTCACCTCCTACAGCATAGGTTGTTTGGGACCTGTTCTAACCCCGGAATCACCATGGGTCAATCATTGGTTGACATATAGCACTGATCATATTTACAGGCTGTTGTACAGTTGGAATAATACTGACTTCAGCGTAAAACAACATTCATTCACATAGAAAATTGACCACATAATTTCCAGTTGCACATGTTTATTATTTGACCACAATTTGCACAATTCTTGGGTATACAGGCAAATTGAATAAATTTGATTTTAAAATATGCAACTTCCAAATCAAACTTGTCAGTTTCTGCTTATTTGTTACCAATGTTCCTCTTCAAAAAATAGCTCTATAGAAATCATCCTGTGAAGTTCAGCGTGGATAGATAGATAGACTTCATATGTGCATGGAGAAGTACGAGACAGCTTGATATCTCTTAACCTTAGACTGCATGACACTTGTTGCACATGAAGCTGGAAAATTGCATACCCAACTTTGGGCCATCTTAGATTGAAAATTACCATTAGTTACGAAAGTATGGCTTATGAAATGTGACTCTATTTTAATGAACACTTCACTTCATAGCACTCTTCTAATTACTTCAGAATAACAGTTAATACGTTCAAGGGAAATACCACACCTGCTCCACCTGGTACATCTCAACAACAGATGTCATATTACTTATTGCAGTGATGGGTTCTTAAAGCTTCTCATTGGCGTGTATTGAACTGTTACACCCCCGCCATATGACATAGATGCTGCTTATGCGTCTTCGCCACTGATACTATGGATCATTTGAGTTGATTGGTAGGTATTGAAGTTAATATTTTGCCCACACTGTTTTATTTCCACAAGATTTCAAACGTGGTCCCCTCACATCCAACTTCAAATGCTTTCATGTCGGTGAATTTGATGTAGTTTCTGAAAATAAATAAAACCAAAGTCCTGTCAACCAACAACAACAAGTAACGACAAATAAAAATACAAGAAGCCATTCACGTTAGGAGACAACTGTGACCAGGGAACCTATCTGCCCAGTGCTTGGGATTTATTGCTTTGATCATTGTCTCAGTTATCATCAAATCCCCTAGCCTTAAGTCACGTGTTGTTTTGATTTACAACAAGCATAAAGCACGGCGAGATATGCTGCCTCAAAACACCAACTTTATATTTATATAGGGAATATGTATAATCAGGGAATATGTATAATCCCCGAAATTTTCAGGGAATATATTTAATGTCTGATTCACTCAGGGAATATACATAATCCCTAACATTTTCAGGTATTATACACATTCTCTGATTTAACTTCAAGTTTTTAAGACATATTCCCTGAAATTACTTTTGAGGCTCTCATATGGTCAAACTTGATAAAAAACAAACAAATTTCCTGATTATACATATTTCCTGTAACATATACATATTGTTGAAATACTTCAGAAATTCAAAACAGAACCTTGTCGTTTTTGTTACCTTTTAGGATCAATACCAAGCTTTTGTTGCAGGAATTCTGAAATGTCTTTGGACATCTGAATGTTTTCCTCATTCCCCATGTGTCCGATACTCTGCAGCTCGGAGTTGGCACATGGATCAGTCGTACCCCCGTGGCTCATCATCTGATCTGGATGAATCCTCACTGCAACACCCTGAAATATACTTGAGTAAATGAGTTATTAAGTTGAGTGAAAGACGGAGTAAGTTGTTTGAATGATTGAGTAAGTTGAGTAAAATTATATAATGTATGATTGAGTGAATAATTGAGAAAGTTGAATACAAGGCTGAGTGCATAAAGCAGTGTGTTGAGTGAATGATTGTGTCACTTGAGTATGTGACGCAGTGTGTTGAGTAAATGATTGAGTAAGTTGAGTACGTGACACAGTTTGTTGAGTGAATGATTGAGTAAGTTGACTAAATGACGGACTAAGTTGAGTGAATAATGGAGTCAGTTGAGTTAGTGAGTAATTGAGTATGGTTTTACACCGCCTTTCCAGCAATATCACAGGCTTCACGCGTTGTACCCAACTGGGGAATCGAACCCGGACCTTCAGCAAGAGCTGTCGCTTTTAACCACCATACTACCCCACAACACCTTGCGTAAGTTGAGTGAATCACAGAGTGAGTTTAGCAAATGATTGAATAAGTTGATTGAATAATGGAGTAAGTTGAGTGAATGACGGAGTATGTTGAGTGAATAATGGAGTCAGTTGCGTGAATTACAGGGTAAGTTGAGCGAATGACAGGGTGAGTTTTGTAAATGATTGTGTAAGTTGAGTGCATGACGGAGTAAGTTAAGTGAACAATGATGTAAGTTGAGTGCATGACGGAGTAAGTTAAGTGAACAATGATGTAAGTTGAGTGAATGATGGAGTAAGTTGAGTGAAAGATGATGTAAGTTGAGTGAATGATGGAGTAAGTTGAGTGAAAGATGATGTAAGTTGAGTGAATGATGGAGTAAGTTGAGTGAAAGATGATGTAAGTTGAGTGAATGATGGAGTAAGTTGAGTGAAAGATGATGTAAGTTGAGTGAATGATGGAGTAAGTTGAGTGAAAGATGATGTAAGTTGAGTGAATGATGGAGTAAGTTGAGTGAAAGATGATGTAAGTTGAGTGAATGATGGAGTAAGTTGAGTGAAAGATGATGTAAGTTGAGTGAATGATGGAGTAAGTTGAGTGAAAGATGATGTAAGTTGAGTGAATGATGGAGTAAGTTGAGTGAAAGATGATGTAAGTTGAGTGAATGATGGAGTAAGTTGAGTGAAAGATGATGTAAGTTGAGTGAATGATGGAGTAAGTTGAGTGAAAGATGATGTAAGTTGAGTGAATGATGGAGTAAGTTGAGTGAAAGATGATGTAAGTTGAGTGAATGATGGAGTAAATTGAGTGAAAGATGATGTAAGTTGAGTGAATGATGGAGTAAGTTGAGTGAAAGATGATGTAAGTTGAGTGAATGATGGAGTAAGTTGAGTGAAAGATGATGTAAGTTGAGTGAATGATGGAGTAAGTTGAGTGAAAGATGATGTAAGTTGAGTGAATGATGGAGTAAGTTGAGTGAAAGATGATGTAAGTTGAGTGAATGATGGAGTAAGTTGAGTGAAAGATGATGTAAGTTGAGTGAATGATGGAGTAAGTTGAGTGAAAGATGATGTAAGTTGAGTGAATGATGGAGTAAGTTGAGTGAAAGATGATGTAAGTTGAGTGAATGATGGAGTAAATTGAGTGAATGATTTGCTAAGTTGAGCGTCTGATTAACTAGAGTAATTGAGTGACCAAGTTGAGTGAATGATTGAGTGCAGCAACCAAACTACATCATTTGAAGGTTAGAATTTACAGTCGACACCTGACTTCCTCACCTCATATATGACATTAATGGGTTTTTTTAATGAATACTTGGAATCCAGGTACACAAGATAAGATGCTTGATATGTGCATATACAATATTCAAAATAACCATTTTCCTATTACCTTGAAGTTCTTCACATGCGTTCAGATATACATGAAAAACCCAATTGTGGACTAATATTGTGTATAAATTAGCCAGTGCAGCATTTTAAGTATTCCGTATTTCTGTGCAGATCCTTTCTGAATATCGAATAAAGGCATCGCGCATACATATGCAAATATAGAAGTCACCTGAAACAGCATCTAACGCAGACTTATTGTTTAAAAAAGTCTACCTGTACTCATTGGTTCATAAAAACTTCATAGTGAGTGAGTGACGGCGCTTTTAGCAATATTCCAGCAATATCATTGCGGGGGACACCACAAATGGGCTTCACGCATTGTACCAATGTCGGGAATCGAACCCGGGTCCTTGGCGTGACGAGTGAACGCTTCAACAACTAGGCTACCTGACCACCCCAAATACCTCATAGGCTGGATCCAAAGAAGTTAAAATATGTTAAAAACCCAAAGAAAGCTATCAATACCCAATATGAATGATAATGTACGTGAATACCCAATGGCCCCAAACACGTATCTGGAGCACTGGCACATATTGGAAGGTTCATGGTCGCATTGTATTTCCTCCATTAAACGCCAGGACGTTTATTTTGTTTCAGACACTCTTTACCCCTGGCGTTTTATCAAGGCCCTGCGTTTATAATTTCAATTTCCGATAATGATATCCTCAGACCCATCCTCGTAGCTTAAAAGTTTTCTAAAATGCCTGCCTGCCTGCGTTTAATGGAGAAAATACGGTAACCTGCGTCCATCTTGGCTATTGAACAAATTCTTGTTATGAGAGGTCACTACGTATACTTACTTCCAACATACTTGAGATCATGATAGACCCCAGCTATCTGGTACAAGTCGTACCTAGTGTTAAAACTATTCTTCAGCCTACGTGACATAACGCCTGCTATGTGTTGTAGTTTTCCATGTATGCTTTTGCTTTTCAGGCTCCATCTGTATGCTCAAACCTTGTTAGGTTGGTTGGTTGTTTGTTGTTTAACCTTGTGATTGATATCATGAGCAGCGATCCACGCAATTTGGATCGATGACATGCATCAACCAAGTCATCGAGCCTGACCACCCGATCCCGTTAGTCGCCTTTTACGACAAGCATAGTCACCTTTTACGGCAAGCATGGGTTGCTGAAGACCTATTCTACCCCGGAATCTTCACGGGTCTCAAACCTTGTTAGGAAGACTAAACGAGGGAAAACCAGTTCCTAGTTAGTTCTAGTTTATGTTCCGAATCGTTTAACATTTAGAATTATCATATCTGAATTATATATGAAATACGTTATGTCATTAAGCCGAAAAAAGCTAATTTTTTTATTATCATGGAATTATTATGGAACTATCCATTCAAATATTTCTTTTTAAATTCATGCAATAAAATAAGTCACACTTTCATTCAAAGATAATTTATTTCCTATTGAGCTGAGAGGGGAACATGAGTGGCCTAGCCGTCTTATTATAAGGTGCTGCAATTCGCTGTGCAAAGGTTGGTGCTAGATACTTGTGAATGTGGGTCAGTGTCCCTGCTGACCCGTGAAGATCCGGGTAGAATCAGGGGTAGATCCGGGTCTTCAGCAACCCATGCTTGCCGTAAAAAGGCGACTATGCTTGCCGTAAGAGGCGACTAACGGGATCGGGTGGTCAGACATGCTGACTTGGCTGATGCATGTCATCGTATTCCAATTGCTTGGATCGATGCTCATTATATAAATCACTGGATTGTCTGGTCCAAACTGGATTATTTCCAGACCGCCATCATATAGCTGGAATATTGCTATGTGTGGAGTTAAACAACAAACAAACAAACAGTATCCCTGCTCACCCTGATAACGTTTCTTGGTTTGTCAAAAGCACTTTGTTGATGCTGCAGTCAGCAGGGCACCAGTTATATGATGGAAGCCTGTAAAAAAAGTCTCGTCAAGTCTGGATCAGACAATCCAGTGACTGATATTGGGAATAACGCAAGCCTGACCACCCGATCCGTTTGGTCGCCTTTTATGATCAGCACAGGTTGGACCTGGAATCACAATGGGGATCATGTGATCCTGTGATCATGCCGTAACCAAAGCGGTACACATGTATAATCTACATCACTTCGGGCTTTCTGGCTACATTGGATTAACACGCTGTGATAGAACTGTAATGCTGTTAAAAGCAGAGTCGTACCAAACCCGCTCATTTAGTTGCAAACGGACATTTCTCTATATAAAATAAATGGTTTACTCAATACCACCACAAGCTGCGTGGTAAGAGCGCCTTCCTGGAGAGCGGGTGGACCGTGGTTTGATTCCATACCGTGCAATACTTAATGAGGTTAAACGATTGTACTTGTTGTTTCTCTGCCTGACAATCTGCAGTTAGGGGACTGGTCAGCTCAAAGTCAGTATGATGTGCGTTATTCAAGTCAAACTGTGGTATGGTAACTCAGTGAGCTTGAACTTTATCACCGGCATAAGTCCGGACTAGAACACTCTGCCCCACCTACCCACACGCAGACAGATATACAGACAGTCACAGACACGCACACACATTCGCACACAGACAGACAGTCACACACACGCACGCACATTCGCACACAGACAGACAGTCACACACACGCACACAGACAGACAGTCACACACGCACGCACACTCACAGATAGATACACTCGCACATAGACAGACACAGAGAGACACACACGCAGACAGATAGACACACACACAGATACACGCACACAGAAACACAGACATGATGAAACCCACCCACTTTGGGCTTTGTGGGGTTAAACAATTCATTTTCAGAGCACGTGTCCCAATACTAACAACATAAAGGCAAACAATGAAATAAAACAAATCCCTATTCGAACTTTAAAATTTTACAAAATAGGTTACATCAGTTTTTAGCAAGCAGTCATCATAATACATTACCCGTAATAATATTAAATTGTACTTCTCACTACACACACACACACACACACACACACACACACACACACGAACACACACACGAACACGAACACACACACACACACACGCCACACACACACACACACAGCCACACACACACACAGCCACACACACACAACGCCACACACACACACACAGATATATATATATATATATTATTTGACAATGACGTTTGTATTGGGATACTTTGTAAATTTTGATCACACTATTTCTGATCGCTTCTTTTTTATAAGAGGAAATTTCTATCACAAAAATGCATTTCACCCAAGTCAACATTGCAATGGCGCAATGAGTTAGAACTGTTTTATCTATCTCATATGACATTGTGAAGCTGCACTGTAACCTGACCTCATTTTCAGCTCCCAATGAATGACCTACATATTCTGACCTTGAATCTGCTCAGTGGTGTATCAGTTTCTTTCTTGCAGAAGCATGCACCCCGGCCAGACTGGCTGTGATTGTCAGTCACTGTACTGTGTCAATGTGACATTCAGAGAGGGATTCGTGCAGTACGGGAGCGAAAACTCCCGTTGCATGCAAAATTACGTTTTTACCATTCAGCCTGGATCCATTTCTTTAAAACGAAGCTCCCCTATATCTATGCATATTTGCTTAAACTTACCTCTTCCGGTTTCCGAACAGTTTTAGAGATCATTTTTGTGGTTTCCAACAGAAACCCCTTTGGGATGGCACTTGCTGGCAGATTCGTGAACAGAAGAAAAATAGGCATGGTTACACTGACTCCGACACTCAAGCTTTTCTGCTACCACACACCGCTGTCCTCGCTTGATAAATCGAGAGCTCAGTTGTAGAACTTCTGAAGCGTGATCACACTCTGGGGCAGTGGTAACTTAGCATTACACCACTGCCAAACATTATTTTGCATATCACGTGTTCCGGAATTTTCCTTTGTTGGTGCACACTCCGGTGCAGTGATAACCTAGCATTACACCACTGCCACAGGACAATTTGGATATCTCGTGACCGGACTTTCTCTTTTTTTTTGTAATCAAACGAGCTTTGCAATAACCAGACCCGTATTACCCCTCCTGCCGGGCTGATATAGCCTATTAGTGCATTTTGATGGGCAGTTGATATCAGTCTGGGAAGCAAAAAATTGGAGTTACGTCCCTTAGTGTGTCGTCTGCTCAGCATAAGAATATTGCCGGTTTTATGCTGCAAGCTCACTGGTCGAGATACTATGCCGCAGTTTAACATGGATGCCCCACTCTGGGAAACAAGTTCCATCTTTCAACGGGCACCTCTCCGGGCAGACGCTGTATCTACTTGACCAAGAGGGGATCCTATATTTTGAACTCATGTCCCACACGTAGCCATGGAAACACACACAATAATTTGTTTATATGTCTGCCTAGTAATGGACATCAGTTCGGCCCTTGTCTGACGTCATAAATATCGAACAAGTAATGAAGGCAATCGCCATTTCCATACGAGTCCGACTTGCATCCTTGGAAATTAAACGCAAACATTTAAAAATGAATAGCAAAAGGCACCTTCAACACTTTATTGGTGTGTTTGTAAGACTTTCACTTTGTTGGAGTTCGCTTGATTATGAACCATCATTGGGCGAGGGCCAAACTGTGAACTTCGGAGCCTGCGACGACCTTCACACAATATTTGGCCCTCACTTTTATAAGTTTTTATATTCTTATTATGTACTTCGTAAGACGTAGACACATTTCCATTTAGTACGTGAGACTTCAAGCTCATACGGGGGCACGCGTGGCCCAGTCGAATCCCGGTTCGACCCGATTATGTTTCTAGGTTTGTCAGCACCATACCCGTGGTGATGGGTTTCACGGGAGTCGTAAACGTCTAAGACCTGCATCTTTTCGGGCTTTCCTCCCACATTAATCTGACACGCCGTGATATAACTGTAATACTGTTAAAAGCGGCGTTAAACCCAACTCACTGACTCAAGCTCATACTGAAATACACACAAACAGCTGCATCGCGGAAACAAATAGCAATGACATGATGAACGTATGTATATTCAAATTGTTCTTCAGTGAACTCATTTGTTGTTTGGTTACAAGAAGTAAGATTTAAATAATATCGTCATGGGACAATGTCTATCTCTACCACAGTCACTGTGGTATAACATTTCGTTCAACTACAAGACGTCAAAATGGCCAACAGGATCATCGTGACGCAGGGAGATTTCCGAAGTCCCGATTAGGCGTCATTAATCTTTAATAATATGGACAATAATTCAGGGGTGGTTATAACGATGTGTCAGAAAGATACTGAAGTAGATATATAGATTGCTGTAGAATATTGAAGACTGTTGCTGTCAGTCAAGGCATGGATCGAGTCGTCGATAGTGATCGGTTTACTATTAAAATTTGCCCTGCGTGCACACCGACAGATCATACAAAGATATTTAGATTCCACGCAGTTGAACGCAGAGTTTTGTACCTTGGCCATATTTTCATCCGATAAAATATATGTAGAAATAACGTAGAAATACAATGCCGGGTGAACCGATCCATTTATTTGTATACAGTGTCAAATGCAGACATGTTGGCTTACATAATCACTCGCACGTCGGGAAACCGAAATTAACTTCTAGAATATTTAGCAAGCTGCCATGATATCTAAGCATGGATTTATTAAAAGTTTCAACAAGGTGACTTCATCTGCATATTTATCGGATCGTGATACCAAGTTTATCGCACTGGTTTATTGAATCCAGTATGTGATAAACACTATCCAGTATGTGATAAATATGAAATAGTCGGATTAAAATATGTATTAGACTCACCACAGCCTCGCTTAAACAACTGGTATTCCTAACATATCGTCTATACGATACGGAAACACACTCATCTAATAATCTTTATTTATCTTTTCAGACTATGAGTGATGAATGGTTATTATTTAGTATTCTATACGCGGATATTTGAACATAATCATTTAAACCAGACAAAGCTGAAAACACAGACGGTCTCTAAGGTAGTTCAGTGGTTAAAGCGTTCCCTATTCACATTTATATTTTAGATCCAGTGATTCCAAGGTTTGACAGAGATTAATCGTGTATTGGTGGACATCTGGTGGTATGAGAGTAAGTCGGTTTTGGGATGTCTTACATACCCTCTCAGGGGAAAAACTAACATGAGAATCAGATGGTTAGGTTACTATGTGTAGGCTTGTGTAAGTCGGTTTTGGGACGTCTTACATACCCTCTCAGGGGAAAAACTAACATGAGAATCAGATGGTTAGGTTACTATGTGTAGGCTCGTGTGTAAGTCGGTTTTGGGACGTCTTACATACCCTCTCAGGGGAAAAACTAACATGAGAATCAGATGGTTAGGTTACTATGTGTAGGCTCGTGTGTAAGTCGGTTTTTTGGATGTCTTACATACCCTCTCAAGGGAAAAACTAACATGAGAATCAGATGGTTAGGTTACTATGTGTAGGCTCGTGAGTAAGTCGGTTTTGGGATGTCTTACATACCCTCTCAGGGGAAAAACTAACATGAGAATCAGATGGTTAGGTTACTATGTGTAGGCTCGTGTGTAAGTCGGTATGGGGATGTCTTACATACCCTCTCAAGGGAAAAACTAACATGAGAATCAGATGGTTAGGTTACTATGTGTAGGCTCGTGAGTAAGTCGGTTTTGGGATGTCTTACATACCCTCTCAAGGGAAAAACTAACATGAGAATCAGATGGTTAGGTTACTATGTGTAGGCTCGTGTGTAAGTCGGTTTTGGGATGTCTTACATACCCTCTCAAGGGAAAAACTAACATGAGAATCAGATGGTTAGGTTACTATGTGTAGGCTCGTGTGTCATCGCACCCCAAATGTATGTATCAGTGCTTGTGCTGTCAATCACTGATATGTGTTTGTTGTTTAACGCCACCCTCAGCAGTAGTCCAGATTTATGAATAAAGCCTTGACCAGACAATTCAGTGATTGATATTGTGAGCAGCGACGATCGTGGTCGGGGTACGTTGACACGCCATGATGTAAGTCTCTGAGCCTGACCTCTGGTCAATTAAGACACCTCCTACAGCATAGGTTGTTTGGGACCTGTTCTAACCCCGGAATCCCCATGTCAATCACTGGTTGACATATAGCACTGATCATATTGACAGGCTGCTGTACAGCTGGAATAATACTGACTGCAGCGTAAAAAAACATTCACTCTTGAAACCGTGATTTCAGCTGTACATGTTTATTGATATTCTTGTTGAGATTGTTTATTAATTGATTACAATCTGCACAATTCTTGCGTAAACAGGAAAATTTAATAAATTTGTCTTTATAATATTCAACTTTCAAATCAGTTTCTCCTTATTTTTGTTCACTGTTCCGCTTCAAAAATTAGGTCTATAGAAATCATCCTATGAAGTAAAGCGTGGATAGATAGAACTCTAGATAAAATAGTTTCTTCATACCAATGAATGCATATGAGAAATTATCAGACTTCATCTGCGCTTTAACTTACATGCAGTATCATGCATGGAGAAGTGCTAGACAGCTTAACCCTTAGACTCAGTCTGCGTGACACTTGTTGCACAGGAAGCTGGAAAATTGCATACCCAACTTTGGGACATCGTAGATGGAAAATTACAATTAGTTAGGAAAGTATGGCTCATGAAATGTGACTCTATTTTAATGAACTGTTATACGTCATTTCAAGGCACTCTTCTAAATAATCCAGCAGAATAATACGTTCAAGGGAAATACCACACCTGCTCCACCTGGTACATCTCAACAACAGATGTCATATTACTTATTGCAGTGATGGGTTCTTAAAGCTTCTCATTGGCGTGTATTGAACTGTTACACCCCCGCCATGTGACATAGATGCTGCTCATGCGTCTTCGCCACTGATTCTATGGATCATCATGAGTTGATTGGTTGGTTTTGAAGCTAATATTTTCCCAAACTGTTTCATTTCCACAGTACTTCAAACGTTGTCCCCTTATACCCAACTTCAAATGCTTGATTCCTGGTGAATTTGATGTAGTTTCTGAAAATAAAGAATAATAGAAATCGGAATTCTGCTCCACTGTGGCTCTGTGTGTGACAACTGCCCACCCTACTACTGACCTAGGTCACGGGGTGTCATTGTGAGTCGGGATGTAGTCACATCAGTACATGTTAAATGTTGATGTCGTATCAATAAAACTTTATGAATATCAATACTAAATGAGCAGTTGACTGCGACATAAATGATCACATATCTATAGATTACCATGGCTGAGAACTGAGAACTCAAAGGACTCGCTTGCCAACAAGGCTTCATATTCATTTCCTCTCATGATAGAATATTTCGACATGAATAATATTGAGTTTTTATGTATGTTTTTTCTTACTGCGACCTTACAAGACTATCAAATATTAATTGGATATAAAGAGGTTTATTGTCACAGTGGCCACGTGTTGTCTTGATCTACCACAAGCATAAAGTGCAGCGATTTGTTTTTGATGGACAGACTGTTGAAATACTTCAGAAATTCAAAACAGAACCATGTATAATTTGTTACCTTTTAGGGTCAATACCAAGCTTTTGTTGCAGGAATTCTGAAATGTCTTTGGACATCTGAATGTTTTCCTTATTCCCCATGTTCGTGATACCTTGCAGCTCGGAGTTGGCACAGAGATCAGTCGTACCCCCGTGGCTCATCATCTGATCTGGATGAATCAACACTGCAATACGCTGAAATATACTTGAGTAAATAAGTTAATAAGTTAAGTGAAAGACTGAGTAAAATGATTGAACGATTGAGTAAGTTGAGACAATGATATAATGAATGATTTTGCTGAATAATTGAGAAAGTTGAATAAATGATTGAGTAAGTTGAGTGAATGACGGAATAATTTGGGTGACTGTTTGAGTTAGTGACGTGAATGACGAAGTAGGTTGCCTGATTGAATGAGTACATTGTGTGAATAAAGATTCAGTGGTGGAGTAAATGGTGGAGTAAGTTGAGTGAATGAAGGAGTAAGCTGTGTAAATGACGGAAGTTAAGTGAATGACAGAGTAAGCTGAGTAAAAGACGGAAGTTGAGTGAATGACCGAGTAAGTTAAGGAAATGACGGAAGTTGAGTGAATGACGGAGTAAGTTAAGTAAATGACGGAGTAAGCTGAATAAATGACGGAAGTTGAGTGCAGGACAGAGTAAGCGGAGTAAAAGACGGAAGTTGAGTGAATGACCGAGTAAGTTAAGGAAATGACGGAGTATGCTGAGTAAATGACGGAAGTTAAGTGAATGACAGAGTAAGCGGAGTAAAAGACGGAAGTTAAGTGAATGACAGAGTAAGCTGAGTAAATGACGGAGTAAGTTAAGTAAATGACGGAGTAAGTTGAGTAAATGACGGAAGTTGAGTGAATGACAGAGTAAGCTGAGTAAATGACGGAGTAAGCTGAGTGAATGACGGAGTAAGTTAAGTAAATGACGGAGTAAGCTGAGTAAAAGACGGAAGTTGAGTGAAGGACAGAGTAAGCTCAGTAAATGACGGAGTAAGCTGAGTGAATGACGGAGTAAGTTAAGTAAATGACGGAGTAAGTTGAGTAAATGACGGAAGTTGAGTGAATGACAGATTAAGCTGAGTAAATGATTGAGTATGTTGAGTAATTGATTGAGTATGTTGGGTAAATGATTGAGTATGTTCAATATATGGCGCAGTAAATTGAATAAATGATTGAGTAAGTTGAGTGAATGGCATAGTAAGTTGAGTGAATGGCTGAGTAAGTTGACTGAATGATTTGGATGAGTGATTACTTCATGGGTTTATGATGCCTACTGGAAATCTTTCACAGTGAAGCATTCAATGGATAGAAATGTTTGTGGTGTCCAACAACACTCCAGATAAGCTGCGTATACAATATTCACAAGAAATAACCATTTCCGAATTACTGTTAAGTTCTTCAAACGCGTGCACAAATTCATGGAAAAAAACAACAGTGTACGAATATTGTGCATAAATAAGCCAGTGCAACATTTTAAGTTACAGATCCTTTCTACAGATCGAATAAAGACATCATGTATACAAAGCAGAGTTATTGTTAAAAAAAGTTCTACTTGTACTCATTGGTTCATAAATACCTAATAGACTGGACCCAAAAATGTCTAAATATACCACTCAAAGTTTGCTAAGGATAACATTTTCCGAATATGAAAAAAACATTCCAATGACAAATACAAATAACCATGTACAAAATCGTGCAGATGAATGTTTAATTGAAAGGAAATGATTGGAATGCGTTTGAGAAAATACCAAAGCAACACGTAATCGACCGGTAAAATGAGACGGTGGCAACTGTGGTTATCATGCATCACGTGCATCACGTGCATCACGTGCATCACGTGCATATGGTGTCCTTCACAGCATTCCTTCACCTTTTTAGTGTGTTACTGTTGCTCCAGTGGGGGGGCACCCACTCACTGTGTACCGGGTTTTACTAAAATAAGACTTCATATCATAATTTCATATTGCATTAAGGATGTGATCCTACTGCAAACTTTGAATAGTATGAATGATAAAGTGAGTAAATATCCAGTAGCTCCAAACATTATCTGGAGCACTGGTACATATTGGATGTTTTATGGTAGTACTGTATTTCCTCCATAAAACGCGCGGACGTTTATTTTTTCAGACACTCTTTTATCCCCGGCGTTTTATCACGGCCCTGCGTTTATAATAATTATATTTCAATTTCCGACTAATGATTTGCTCATACACATCTTCGTAGTTCTATCAAATGCTTCTGTTTCGCGGGGACGCATACAGTAGTTGAAATACAATACAACCATATCAACCATCCGGCGTTTAATAAATCCCTGAATTTATTCGAGGAAATAAGGTAACTTGCATCCATCCAGGCTATTGAACAATATCTTATGAGAGGTCACAAGTCACACCTAGTGTTAAAACTATTCTTCAGCCAACGTGATATGAAGCATATTTTGTGTTGTTGTTTTACATTTTGTATGCTTTTGCTCTTCAGGCTCCATCAAACCCTGTTGGGAGGACCAAACAACGGAAAACTAGTTCCTAGTTAATTTTTCTAGTTCATGTTCCGAATTGTTTATCATTTAGAATCATCTTATCTGAATTATAGCTGAATTTTATCTGAATTATGTTTTGACATTAAGTCGAAAAAAGAACAATTACTATCATTATGGAATTATTTTGGAACTATCCATTCAAATATTCCTTAATTTCATGCACACAAAAAATTAAGTTACTCTGAAGTGTTATTTCAATTTTAAGAAATACCAAATAATCTTTAAATATTGGATTTATTGTATGGTATTCAAAGATAATTTAATTCAAATTTATTTGGTGCCACTCGCAACGCAAAGTTGGGTACCAGAAACTTGTGAATGTGGGCCAATGTCTTGGTTTGTCAGCAGCACTTTGTTAATGCTACAGTCAGCAAGATTCCAGCTATATGACAGTCTTAAAATAATTAAGGTCTGGATCAGACAATTCGGGGATTGATATTGTGAATCCGTTCCGTTTGGTCGCCTTTTATGACCAGAAAAGGTTGAACCTGGAATCCACATGGGGATCCTGTGAGTATGTCTTCACCAAAGCGGGAAAAGATCTAAAATCTACATGACTTCGGGCTTTCTGACCATCTGTGATATAACTGAAATACTGTCAAAAGCGGCATCATATCAAACCTGCTCATTTAGTTGAGAACAATCATTCCTCTCTATAAAATAGGGGGCACTACTGCCACTTTTGATCCTTATCTCGTAATAACCTATTGGGAGGTTTCAGTTTTTCTTCGGAAGGCCTGGTATGAGGTTTTACGTTCCCATATATAGAAAGGTGAGGTGAAATGGGGTTTAACGTCGCGTCCAAGATTATTGCACTTATATAGCGACGTGCATGCACGTGTGTGTGTGTGTGTGTGTGTGTGTGTGTGTGGCTGCTTGTACTAGTCCGGACTGATGCCGATTTATAGTGCAAGCACACTGAGATACCATGCCGCAGTTTAACATGAATACCCTACTCAGACACAGTATACTGACTCCGAGCCGACCAGTCCTTGTTTTAGCCCCTTAATGCCGAGCGCCAGACAGGGTAACAACAAGTACCATCTTTTAACGTCTTTTGGTATGACGCAGCTGGGGATCAAACCCCGGACCTTCCGCTCTCCGGGCGGACGCTCTACCTTTAGACCACGGAGGCGGTCTCCCATAGTAAGACCTGATGAGTTGAGTAGTAGATGAAATTTGTTTTCGAAGACTTGGAATGAAAGTTTTCATTATGGATTAAGGTTATCGAACCTGCAACCTCACATTTCGTGTTTAGTTTCCCCACTGAGCCACCGGTGGAGGTGATTACAAGTAGTTCAGTTTTACTTGTCAAGACCTCTGTTTGTGCTGCATGCTGCACGTGGTCTTTCTCTCGCACGCTGCGATCGCTCGTACCAGCCACGTGGTATAAAACCGCGACACGAGCACGAAATTCTCGTGCCGCGCCCCTTTTCGCTAACAGTTGTACACATGAACAGCTGTACAATAGTCTCGTTTTTACGCCCAAAATGTATTATATTTTTGTTTATATCAAACAAACTCTTCAGACTTTCCCTTTCCCTCGTGTTTACATTTTCAACCAAAGGCTCGGAGGCATGTTTTCTCCTATAGATATAGCTCCCTATGGTTATTTGTAATTTCTAATAAAACATTATTAATTCTAACCTGAACTTACTGAACAATTAGAGTCTCTCAATATGGCTGCCAAGTATGGACGGACGAAAGATATGCGATGTTGAAACTCACCCCTATTGTTGGGCTAAACAACTCATTTTCAGATCACTTGTCCGAAGAACAGCATAAAGGCAAACAATGAAATGTAGTCATTCCCCCTCGAACCCTGCCGGGATTCAGATTGAAATTTGTTTCAAACAATCTCTGCTGGTCGTAGTTGGTGATTAAAAGGACCAAGTTGTCAGGCTTGGTCACTAAGTTAATTGTGTGTCAACGTACCCTGACGGGTTGTGCTCCTAATATCAATCACTGATCACTGCGCCAGGCTCCCAGGTCTCCATCATACAGCTGGAATTCACGGCATTAAGCAATACTCACACACAAAATTATGCAATAGATGCCATATGTGCGTTATCAGGGTATGAAACTCCCAAAAATTTCAGCCAGACCACAGGACTGGCTAGCTGAAATACTTGCCAGCCCTGACCAAAACCTGCCTTCCCACTATAATCATATGTTTCTCAGGATAAGCTAACGGGGTTTCTTTTTGGTTACATTTTATCATTCATCTTTACATGTGAATTAATGCTTATCATCGGTAAATATTTAGAATATTTTCACATATGAAATATAACCCGACCGTCGGGCAGGGGGATTTGAAAATCTTGCAGCCCGAGTTGAAATCAACCCGTCTCGGACGGTCGGGCAGGCAGGTATTTCGAACACTGGCGTTATGTGTTCCCCGTTATCTGGCTCCCATTTATAAATATCAGAGTCTCCATCTATGATTATAAGATCAAAGACCAAATGTATTAAATTATCATCAGATTATTTGGATTCAGGACAGAAGATGGATCCGTCGAAACCAATGCTCGACGTCAGAGTGAGTGAGTTAATGTTTACGTCACATCGGCAATATTTCAGCCATACCGTGACGAACTCGACGTCGGAGGCAAGTAAGTGGATCGTGTGGTCAAGTTTGGTGACTTGGGTGACTGTGTGTTGCCGTAACCCAATTGTGTGAATTGATGTCAATCACTGGATTGAAAGTTTAATTATTATTTTCATCATATTTATTGTTTTTTCTCTGTTTTCTATATAATTAATATATTACCGATACTAATACTGTTAAATGTTACAAAATACATCATCACATCATTACTGCAAGAACTGAAATACATTCCAATACATTTCCTCTTACAATAATGAATTATACTTTCCACTACACACACAGCAACACACACATACACACATACAAGCACACACACACACACATACACACACACACACACACACACACACACACACACACACACACACACACACACACACACACACACACACACACACACACACACACACACACACACACACACACACACACACACACAAATATAGGACCGAAAACATAATAATGACATTATTTCCAAATCTTAATGATCGTGAATGAAAATGTTGTTGAAAGAGGGTTCATTTGCCCAAGGAAGCCCTTACTTGACAATAATAACCGTCATGTTGAGATACACATATAATCAATAATTGTAATGGCTTTAATGTCAAACATGTCCTGATATGACCCATCTTGACGTTTGATCAATTTCTTTAAAAAGAGACTCCCCTCTATCTGTTTGATAATACATTGTAATATTCTGATAATTCATTCAAAATACTGCTACAAAGAACTATTGACAATTCACAACAAATACTGTGGTTTAGAAACAGAATTTCTACTTCTGCATGTATGCTTGAACGAACCTCTTCCGGTTTCCGAAGGGTTTTGGAGATCATTTTTGTGGTTTCCAACAGAAACCCCTTTGGGATGGCACTTGCTGGCAGATTCGTGAACAGAAGAAAAACAGGCATGGTTACACTGACTCCAAGACACAAACTTTTCTGCATACACACACCGCTGTCCTCGCTTGATAAATCTAGAGCTATGTTGTGGAACTTCTGATGCGCGATCACACTCTGGGACAGTGATGACTTAGCATTACACCACTGCCACAGGACAATTTGCATATTACGTGACCGGAATTTTCCCTTGATAGTGAACACTCCGGTGCAGTCATAACCTAGCATCTTACCACTGCCACAGGACAATTTGCATACTTTATTCCTTATTCAGAACAGACTGGCCCTATGCAAGCCTTTCGGTACGCGATACAGATTGTTTTGCATAAGTGTATAAATATGCTTCGAAAACTATGACAGTGAGGTGCATGACAATATATCCTCACACATCCAAGTCACTATATCGCCAGCTCCCCCTGGGGCTTTGATGACAGCACGTGAGGCTGTACAACCAATGTGAAGATAGGAGAAATAAGTTATTGATTTGAAGCAATTTGCATGTGAGAGCAAGCGCAGACACAGACAATAATATTCCTTCATATTCCCTGCCTGATTCTCCGGGTATGCTGCGCTGGCGCTACACTGACCCAGGCAATGACTGCACAACTGCGACCTCCACTAGACAATCAAATATGACGGACCCGACATGTATTTACTATAGAAAAACTCTAGAACGGGTGGTTAAGATGTCTTTTAACATTTACATCACTGTTGTTGCAATGTATACGTCACGAGAATAACGTCCATTGGTACTTACACCCGTTCTACCGTTTTTCTATAGTAAATACATGTCGTGCCCGCCATGTTTGTTCGTCTAGTGGAGGCCGCCATTGTGCAGTCATTACCTGGGTCAGTGTAGCGCCAGCGCAGCATACCCAGGGAACCAGGCTGTTATACTCCTGCCCAGTGATGGACATCGATTCGGCCCTTGTCTGACGTTAATAATATCAAACAAGTAATGAAGGAAATCGCCATTTCCATATGAGTCCGACTTGCTTCCTTGGAAATTTAACACAAACAATAAAAACATTTTAAAAATGAACAGCAAAAGGCACTTTCAACACTTTATTGGTATGTTTTAAGAATTGACTTTCACTTTGTGGGAGTGCCCTTGAGTATGAACCTTCATTGGGTGAGGGCCAAACTGTGAACTTCGGAGCCTGCGACGACATTCATACAATGTTTGGCCCTCACTTTTTTTATATTTTTACATTCCTACTCTGGACCTCGAAACACGTATTCCAATAAGTAAGCGTGACTTCATGTTTATACTGACACAAACAAACAGCTGTATCCGGAAACCGATAGTTCCGCGATGAACGTATGTATATTTAAATTGTTCTTCAGTCAACTCATTTGTTGTTTGCTAAGATTAACAAGTATGATTTAAATAATATCGTCATGAGAAAATGTCTACCCCTACCACAGTCACTGTCGTAATACATTTCGTTCAACTGAAAGACGACAAAATGGCCGACACGATCATCGTGACGCGGTGAGATTTCCGAAGTTGTCAATGTTTGTTTGTTTGTTTGTTTGTTTGTTTAACGCCACACTCAGCAATATTCCAGCTATATAACGTCGGTCTGTAAATAATCGAGTCTGGACCAGACAATTCAGTGATTGACATCATGAGCATCGATCCACGCAATTGGGACCGATGACATGCATCAACCAAGTCAGCGAGCCTGACCACCCGATCCCGTTAGTCGCTTTTTACGACAAGCATAGTCCCTTTTTACGGCAAGCATGGGTTGCTGAAGACCTATTCCACCCCGGACCTTCACGGGTCGAGGTTGTCAATGAATCGGTCCCGATTAGGCGTCAGTCATCCTTGATAATCGTCACGATAATTCAGAAGGGATTATAAGGATGTGTCAAAAGGACACTGAAGTAAATTTAAAGATTGCTGTAGAATATTGATGACTGTTGCTGTCAGTCAATGCATGGATCGAATCGTCGATAGTGATAGAGTCACTTGTGATCGGTTTACAATCAAAATTTGCCCTGGGTGCACACCGACGTCTCAAGAAGACTATACAAAGATATATAGACTCCCTGCAGTTGTATCCATAATTTCGCTGCCCTAACGTTTTGAACCTAAACCGTTATTTTCATCCGCTAAAATAAATGTAGAAATAACGCATGAATACAATGCCTGAGTGTACCCATCCATTAATTTTTTTACAGAGCCAAATGCAGCCAAAGTAATACGTCTTCACCAGGGATACTATGGATCATCATTAGTTTATTGGTAGGTTTTTTAGTTAATATTTTGCCCAGCCAATTCATTTATTTCCACAAGACCGCAAACGTGGTCCCCTCATACCCAACGTCAAGTGGCTTCAGGTTGGTGAATTTGATGTAGTTTCTGAATAAGAATTCTGCTCAACTGTGTTTCTGTGTGTGGCAACTGATCACTCAAATACTGGCCGAGGTCACGGGATGTAATCATGTGTCGTGATGTAGATATATCGGTTAATGTCTATGTTGTATCAGTACAACTTTATGAATATCAATACGCAATAAATAATTCACTCTCACAGTGAGTCAGTGAGTGAACATGGTTTTACGCCGCTTTTAGCAATATTCCAGCAGAATCACGGTGGGGGACACCAGAAATTTGGCTTCACACATTGTACCCATGTGGGGAATCAAACCCGGGTTTTCGGCGTGACGAGCGAACACTTTAACAATTAGGCTACCCAACCGCCCATTACTGCAACAAAAATGTTTAAATACCTATAGATTACCATGGCTAAGATGGACAATGAGGTTGCCGAAAATTCAATGGACTCTACGACAAGGCTTCACATTCACTTCCTCTAATGATAGAATATTTCATGGTACCTCATAAGCAGTGGCCACGTGTTGCCTTGATTTACATCAAACATAAAGTACAGCGATTTATTCTGCCTCAACACCAACTGTATTTTATGGACAGATTGTTGAAATACTTCAGCAATTCAAAACAGAACCAAGTATAATTTCTAACCTTTTAGGGTCAATACCAAGCTTTTGTTGCAGGAATTCTGAAATTTCTTTGGACATCTGAATGTTTTCCTCATTCCCCATGTGTCCGGTACTCCGCAGCTCGGAGTTGGCACATGGATCAGTCGTACCCCCGTGGTTCATCATCTGATCTGGATGATTCCTCACCGTCACATACTGAAATATAGCAAAATATTTGGGTGGATGAATTATTAAGTTGAGTGAAAGCTATTTGAATGATTGAGTAAATGATTGGGTAAGCTGAGTAAATGATTGAGTAAGATGAGTTAACGATGAAACATGTAGAGTGAATGATTGAGGGAATCATTTAGTAAGTCGCGCAAGTGAGTAGTTGAGGAGGTTGATTTAATGATTGAGTGAATGATTGAATAGGCTAAGTGAATGATTCAGCTGAGAGAATGATTGAGTAAGTTTTCGGAATCATTTTGATAAAATGAATGATTAAGTTGGGTGAATGATTGAGTTGAGTGAATGATTGAGTTTAACTGCCAAAAATACATTCATTTGAAACTTAGAATGAACAATTTACATGGAGTGGGACAGTGTTTTTTTTTTACCTTAAATTTCATATGAATGATTTTAATGGCTACTGGTCATCTTTCACAGTAAAGAAAAGTTTGTGATGTCCAGGAATCCCCCAGGGTACACCACAGCTACACAAAATACGCACAATATCACCATTACCTAGTCAGTTTTGACTTCTTCAAATGTGTACAAATACGCATGAAAACACCAATAGTGACTAATGGCCAATGTAGCCATTTCAGTTGGTACTCCTGTGTGTCTTTACAGAATTTTTCTACTGAAGGAATAAACGGATCATGTACACATAAACAGATCCCACTCAAAAGTCACCTGAAACTGATTCCGAAGCATAATTATTGTTGAAAGAGGTCTATATGTACTCACTGGTTCCTTAATACCCAACCGACTGGCCCAAAGGAAGTAAAATATGTTTAATATATGTTCCATAGGGAATTTTCAGTACCCAGTTTGAATGATAACGTGAGTAAATATGGTAATACCATATTTCCTCCATAAGACGTCGAGGCCCAGCGTTTATAATTTCAATTTCCGACTAATGGTTTTCTCAGACCTATCTTTGACACCGCAGCTTAAAGGTTCTCTAAATCTCGAGGCCCAGCATTTAATGGGGATCCGGCATTTATTGTTTTCAGATACCTCGTACACCGGCGATTAATCGAGGAAATACAGTAACATACATCCAACCAGGGCCTACTTGCACAAAACGATCTTAGCGCTAAGACTATTGTAAGCCATGCTAAAGTATGGGAGTTACGATGATCTTAGCGCTAAGATCGCTTTGAGCAAGTGGGCCCAGGTCATTGAACACAGCCTTGGTATCAGAGGCCACTACTAATAGTGTTACACCTCGCAACGGAGATGTCATCGTGACATCATACACAAAACCTTGCATCACAACTTGTTGTGACTTGATAATTACACTATCTGTCCATTAACATCATTAAAATGGGTCAACAGTTTTAAAATAGGTCGCCGTAATTTCTTATTCAGTTCTAGGATTAAACATCAGACAAAATACAACCAGTTTTGAAGGGTTAACACACTTCTCAGCAAAACAAAATATGGTCTCAAAATTTTCAAAACATATTTACATTTCCACTGACCTCGAAATGTAAATATCACATAGTCAAGTCTGACGGTAACACCCAACACTATTCTTGCACAATGCAAATACGCTCGCCCTAAATATTGCTAGGCATCCCCTTTCCCAAATCACCCTGTCTACATTATTGGCAACCACAGCTGGGAATTTTTCCTTCACAGCAATAATACGGTTTCTATGACAGCACTATTTACACAGTTTGTTACATCCAGGTTTTACTCTTTATACTTCAAGGACAGTTTTACTTTCTTCATATGTCTTCAGGACTACTTCCTTAAGGCATAACATATTGGGATTACAGTGTGAACATCCAATGTCAAACTACCAAAACTACAATCGCAGTCAGTCCTCAACGCAATAGATGGTACAATGTGCAAGTCAGTCCTCAATATATTTTGATCCCAAATAGCCTATGCTGGTTCGTAGGAGGTGATTTCGTGGATCGGGTATTCAGGCTCGGTCACGTAGTTGATTGTGTTATCATACCCTGACAGATTATGATCATAATATCAATCTTTAAATGCCGGGTCCAAACTTAATTGTTTCCAGGTGCCCATGATACAGCTGGACTGTACGGCATTAAACGGCATTCACACACAATCATCCAAAAGAAGCTTCATGTTGGTGCTTTTGGTAAGTGGAATTGTGTGGATTTGATGCTCATGATGTCAATCACTGGATTGAAAGCATCATTATTATTTTCATGATACATATATTTTTTTGTTCTATTTTCTGCTTCAATTTTAAATGATATCATCAATACTAATACTGTCAAATGATACAATAAAGGTCACATCAGTTTATAGCAATCACTGCACAGGCAGAGACAGACACATCTACAGACATATACACACAGAGAGAGGTGAGGTGAGGTGAAATGGGGTTTAACGTCGCGTCCAAGATTATTGCACTTATATAGCGACGTGCATGCACGTTTGTGTGTGTCTGCTTGTACTAGTCCGGACTGATGCCGATTTATAGTGCTAGCTCACTGAGATACCATGCCGCAGTTTAACATGAATACCCCACTCAGACACAGTATACTGACAAGTCCTTGTTTTAGTCCCATAATGCCGAGCGCCAGACAGGGTAACAACAAGTACAATCTTTTATCGTCTTTTGGTATTATGCAGCCGGTGATCGAACCCCGGATCTTCCGCTCCCCGGGCAGACGCTCTACCTTCTAGAGGCGGTTGTGAATATATTAGGTATTTTTGTGGCCAAAATGTCTTTTTTAATGTCAAAATGAATTTCTAAAAATATGTTTCCCTCCATCAGTTTGATGATACATTGTAATATTCTATTGGTTTTGTTTATACAATACTACCATACTACCACTACTAGTCACAACACATAATGTGGTTTGGAAAAAAATATTCTTCTTCTTGTTAACTTGAACTTACACTTTCCGGTTCCCGAATGGCTTTGGCGATAACTGCTGAGGTTTCCAACAAAAAACCCTTTGGGATGGCACTTGCTGGCAGATTCGTGAACAGAAGAAAAACAGGCATGGCTACAATGACTCCGACACTCAAGCTTTTCTGCTACCACACACCGCTGTCCTCGCTTGATAACTCGAGAGCTCAGTTGTGGTCAACTTCTGAAGCCCGTTCACACTCTTGGGCAGTGATGACTTAGCATTACACCACTGCCACAACGACAATTTGCATATCTATTGACCGAAGCTGAAGCTTTTTTGCTGACACACAACGCTGTCCTCGCTTTATAAATGGAGAGCTTCGTTGTCAAGCTTCTGTCGTTCTGATGTGCTTTGTTGTGACGGGTTCAAGCTTCACCACACTTCAATCCACGAGAATGCGCTCACACAATATTAACATGAGTTGGCACATATGCGAATCTTCATGCAGTACATGTTCGTGTGTGTACACGCCTGATCGGGCTCTGGGTCAGAACAGGTTTTTTTTGTTGTTTTGCTTTTCATCTGTGTTAACTGAACGTGGGGCGAAGCTCCATGACTTTGCAGAGTCCATACATGGTCACAATGTCTTATGACGGATAAATATAGAATACTAAACGAGCTCCCGTGTAATACCAATTTTATGAAACGAGTGAATAGTTGTGGTATCTGACGAGCGAAAGCGAGTTGCAATATATAACGTTTTTTGAATTATGCCGTGGAGTTTGAATAGGCTGACACCTACATGATCCACGACATAGTCCAATTGAGTTTAACAGAGTAATTATTCAAACACGTCAAAAGTTGAAACGTATGAATTTCATACCATACAACGGGTCTACCTTTAGAATTCACAAAATTATCGTAGGGCTAAGACTTGCGCATCTCACATACTTTAACTTAGACCAACGACTGTCGTTGCGCTACAATACGATCGCCTTGTGGAACGGGCCTTGCACCTTAAAGTTTTCAATAACGTCACAATACCCGATGACGTAATTTGTGGAATTTTGATGCAAGATCCCTCGGCGAAACAATGCCATGTGACGTCAGCCTCGCAACAAGGTTGCTGGGGTCATCGAGTGTGCAAAAGCTCCTCTCAGTGATCTATCAACTCCACACGCAATGTCGTTGAATAAGCCAAGGGATGTTAAGAGCTTTCAATATTTGTTCGTGAAACGTGTTCCGAGAGTACATAAGCACGCGTTTTGGTATTACACAATGTGTAATAAGCTGTATTTTTATTAAACGGGTGATCTCTTCACGGGCAAGTAATAAAATAGTGCTATCTCACTCACTCGTGGTATGTCTAGACTTGAGATGTTTTTTTGTTTATGTGACATTTTTTATCAGCTTTTACTTATCAAATAGAAGTTATCAGAAATAGTGTTTCAATAGAGTGATTAGGATTATGAAAGAATTCCAATACACAGTTATTATGGTGTTGCTAGAATACATAAAACGATATTTTTGCCCAACTGGGTGTGTCTGGGTGTGAAAACGTGTCTATCGCTCTCTCTCTCACTCACTCTCTCTCTCTCTCTCTCTCTCTCTCTCTCTCTCTCTCTCTCTCTCTCTCTCTCTCTCTCTCTGTAAGTGCGTGTGTGTGTGTGTAGTGTGTGTAGTGTAGTGTAGTGTAGTGTGTGTGTGTGTGTGTGTGTGTGTGTGTGTGTGTGTGTGTGTGTGTGTGTGTGTGTGTGTGTGTGTGTGTGTGTGTGTGTGTGTGTGTGTGTGTGTTTGACATACACTATTTTGTAACAGTATTGCTATTGATGATATCATATAACTTTAAGCAGAACGCAGAAAACCCAATAAGGTGAGAGGTACTATCTTGTTATAGAAGCATAGTGTTCACATATAGATATAACATGGTATTCATCCTCAATATATTTACGTTTTGGAGAAAAAGAAATCCCAGAATCGGTCATTATGACAAATGGCACTGTGTCTTACAAGCTCCAAACTTCAACAGAAAATATAACATCTGAGCTCTAAGATACAAAGCCTAATGAAAAGTAGAATGTTAGACAGCGATTTAGACGGCCTTTTATATGACGGTCTAGTGTCCCCAACCTTCTGAAGAGTACTTTGTATTAAAAATGAAGCGATCTTTCACTGTGCTCTTAACACTTTTCAACATTATAATCATTCGGATACCTATATGAGGCTAGATTTTGCATCACTATTTTCTTGACGTATAATACTGCAGAAGGCTAGAGTGTTGTGGAGTCTTCACATTCTCTGGTTCTGGCAGCGCTTCCTGGGAAAAGTTCCATTCGCTGTCTGGCCTGCGTGTAGATTTTAATCTGCAAATAATAACAATGCTGATAATAATAGTAATATTAATACTATAAAAATATATCAAATACATGGCAAATATGCAGACCCCACTTTCGAAATGTCACGCTTGCATCCCAAGTACCAAGTTGTCCGACTCCCCATTGTTCTCGGTGCTTTAGGTTAGGACTGACATCGGGATAGTACCCGGGTTTGCTACCAGGAATACAGCCCTTCTGACAATCTGGGTAATGCAGAAGGCTGCAGTGTTGGGGAGTCTTCACATTCTCCGAAACGTTCTGTGTGGGTTTGACCAGGCAGCGCTTCTTGGGAGAAGTCCCATTCGCTGTCTGGGCTGCGTGTAGAGGGGGCAAGGGCCTTGAGTTGATGATGAGCCTAACCAGCCTGACTGTCCAGGATCACCCAAACCCTCTTTAGTGCATTTTTTACATTAATCTGTAAATAATAATAATAATAATAATAATAATAATAATAATAATAAAAATTGAAATAAATCATAATCATATTATGAAAGGACAATACAACTTGAGGAAACAAGCAAACAAAGGAAGGCCACCAAACTAGGGACCATTGGGTCTTCTGCCACCTGTATGGAACTCCCAGCAGGACCATCTCCCTAACTGCGATTGTTGGCACATTTAGAAGAATATTAACAGAACATATATTCAACGATTAAAACCGTGTGTACCGGTGCTTGTGTGTCATCACAGCCCAACAGTGTGTATCAGTGCTTGTGTGTCATTCACTCCCCAACAGTGTGTCTCAGTGCTTGTGTGCCATCACGACCCAAACGTGTGTGTCGGTGCTTGTGTGTCATTCACTCCCCAACAGTGTGTATCAGTGCTTGTGTGTCATCCACTCCCAAACAGTGTGTATCAGCGCTTGTGTGTCATCACGACCCAAACGTTTGTGTAGGTGCTTGTGCTGTCAATCACTGATGTGTGTTTGTTGTTTAACGCCTAACTCAACATCAGTCCAGCTATATGACGGCGAATCAAGTCTGGACCAGACAATCTTGTGATTGATATTGTGAGCAGCGACCCTCATGGTCGGGGTACGTTGACACGCCATCACCTAAGTCACTGAGTCTGACCTCTGGTCCATTTAGTCACCTCCTACAGCATAGGCTGTTTGGGACCTGTTGTATCCCCGGAATCACCATGGAGTCAATCACTGGTTGACATATAGCACTGATCATATTGACAGGCTGGAATAATACTGACTGCAGCGTAATAGAACATTCACTCACAAAGAAAATTTAACCCAGGATTCAAGTTGTACATTTTTATTGATATCCTTGGGCATACAGTCAAATTAAATAAATTTGTCTTCAAAATATTCATCTTTCAAATCAAACTTGTCTGTTTCTGATTATTTGTTACCACTCTTCCACTTCAAGAATTAGTTCTTTAGAAATCATCCTGTAAAGTTCAGCATGGATAGATGGAAATCCCAATCAAATAGTTCCTACATAGTTCCTACATAGTTCCTACATAGTTCCTACATACTAATGAATGCATATGGGAAATTATCAGATTTCATCTGTGCATTAATTTACATGCAGTATTATGTATGGAGAAGGACTAGACAGCTTGCTATCTCTCAAGGAAGCTGGAAAATTTCATACCCAACTTCAGGATATCGGAGATTGAACGTTACCGTCACTTACAAAAGTATGGCTTATGGAAAATTGCATAACAAATTGAAAATGTGACTCAATGTCAATGCTCTTCTTCACATGGCACTCTTCTAATTGATTCAGCAGAAAGACTGTTAATACGTTGATTGGTAGGTTTTGAAGTGAATATGTTGCCAAGCTTATTCATTTACTTCAACAAGACTGCAAACGTGATCCCCCCTATACCCAACAGTGTGTATCAATGCTTGTGTGTCATCGTACCCCAACAGTGTGTATCAATGCTTGTGTGTCATCACACCCCAACAGTGTGTATCAATGCTTGTGTGTCATCACACCCAAACAGTGTGTATCAATGCTTATGTGTCATCCTGTACCAACAGTGTGTATCAATGCTTGCGTCTCATCGCACTCCAACAGTGTGTATCAAAGCTTGTGTGTAATCCTGTACCAACAGTGTGTATCGGTGCTTGTGCTGTCAATCACTGTTGTGTGTTTGTTGTTTGACTACACACTCAGCAGTAGCCCAGTTATATGACAGCGAATCAAGTCTGGACCAGAAAATCTTGTGATTGATATTGTGAGCAGCGACCCTCATGGTCGGGGTACGTTGACACGCCATCACCAAAGTCACTGAGTCAGACTATTGGTCCATTTAGTCACCTCCTACAGCATAGGTTGTTTGGGACCTGTTCTAACCCCGGAATCACCATGGGGTCAATCACTGGTTGACATATTTACCGGCTGCTGTACAGTTGGAATAATACTGACAGCAGCGTAAAACAACATTCACTCACATAGAAAATTGAACCCATAATTCCAGTTGCACATGTTTATTGATTGATCACAGTCTCTACAATTATTGTGTATTCAGGCCAATTAAATAATGTTTTCTTTAAAATATTCGTCTTTCAAATCAAACTTATGGTTCACTTCATGGCACTCTTCTAATTACTTCAGCAGAATAACCGTTAATACCTTCCAGGGAAATACCACAATTGCTCGACCCGACACATCTCAACATCAGATGTCATACTACTTATTGCAGTGATGGGTTCTTAAAGGTTCTCATTAGTATGGGTTGCACTGTTACACTGCCGCCATATGGCATAGATGCCACTGATGCGTCTTCACCACTGATTCTATGGATCATCATGAGTTGATTGGTTGGTTTTGAAGTAAATATTTTGTCTGGTTCTTTTATTTCCACAAGATTTCAAACGTGGTCCCCTTACACCCGACTTCAAATGCTTTCATGTTGGTGAATTTGATGTAATTTCTGAAAATAAAGATAACCAGAAATCGGAATTCTGCTCAAATGAGGTTCTGTGTGTGACAACTGACCACCCTAATACTGACCTAGGTCACGGGGTGTCATCGTGAGTCGTGATGTAGACACATCAGTAAATGTTTAATGTTGTGTCAATACAACTTTATAAATATCGATGTTCAATGAATAATTCACTGCCACAAAAATGGTAACATATCTTAAGATTACCATGGCTGTGATCGACAATTGAGGA